TTCCCTCTGTACCACAGGAACAGCAAGTGTTTAGAAAACCTGCTGAAGGTGCGGTGGAGGAACGTTTTGAGGGGTCACCCCAGGAGGTCAAATTGACGCTTCCCCAAGAGGGCACGTAATGGAGGTGGATAGGAAGATAACGTATGCAAAGTATGTAAACATCCTGTTCCGTTGGTATATATTACCCCCCCTTTGGGGTGGAGTCGGACACTCTCTGATGTGCGAGACCACTTGCGTGACGCGTGTTCCACTGCCATCCGTCTCGCCACGTCACCCACACGGACAGCAGAACAGGTAAGGAATTGTTCCTCCATGCCGCAAGAGAAAAAAAAAACATTTAAACCGCATAAATGAAGCGTCCCCAACTAGTCCATTCCGTATGGCATGTGAATACAGAAATGATCATTAGAGTCTCCTTACAATTTAGTGAGAACAGAATCAGTGGGCATGCCCTTTGACACCAAGAGGGATCACTATAGACATGTAGGGGGACTCGCGCTAAGGGAAAAGCTATCCGTCTGGGACAGTCCCACGGGCCCTCTTGCAGGGGAAAGGCATCACGTAAATATATGTATGGCTCACTTTATCTGTCACAACATGCTTATGTGTGCACGGAAAAGCAAAAAAAAAAAGAAATGCGATGGGATATATATGCCAAAAAAGGTTATTCTTCCGTTCTGCTTATAACCTTTGCATTGTGTCTTGGAGTGACTCCACTCCCTTTTTTTCGTTACGTCTCCCATCCGTGACGCTTCGAAAGATCTGGCATGGCTCTGTTTGGGTGAGCACCCCATTCATCCTTCCAAAGGGGCAATCCCCGATGAGGGTGGTGATTCCAAAATAGGTGAGTCACTATGGTTAAACTGTTTCGGGGGAGAAGTGCAAAATGGAAGGGAAGGAAAAATTAAGCAATGGTGAAGGGAAGGGTGCGGGGACGAGAGGCCACTGACAGGGGGGAGCCTCCTCACAAGCCGCCTAACCCGATTGACGAGCCGCCTTACAATCCGTTGTTGCCTTTCCGCCGTCGCCGCGCCATCAGTTCCAGGCTATGGTGTACTTTTCTCGGCACAGGAAAAATTGCATGCCCCCTGAAATTATCCCACTTAACAGATGGGCCGTTTTAGAAAAAAGAAAAAAAAAGGATGCATACAGAGAGGGATGCCATTTGATGGATACCATCTCATAGAGCGTCATTTTCGCAGCGAAGGTCTCGCCGGGCCATGGAGAAATTTTTTTTATGTTCCCTCCGCTTGATTTTATCTACCCGGTTTAGCTGCTCTGTTTATCTAGTCCTTCTGTTTACTCCTTTTATCTACCCCCCCTGATTGGGGCGCATTTTACTTCCTCCTCATTTACTTACAACTTCTGTGATAGGACGGACGTCGCTATGCTTTACTGCTGCTAAATGAAGAGGAGCACGCGGCGCGAATAGGTCAGTTATTCTCGACCGTGGCTTCCCCACAAGATGGACCTGTTCCGGGAGGAGCGCGTGGAGGTGGAGTTGAACGCGGATGTCAGTTACGCATGCGCCCTGAATGATAGGTTATACTTTGGGACGACGGATGGCCGGGTGGTGAAATGGCGCATCGAGAAGGAGCCACAAGGGGAGTTAGCAGTAGGAGGAGCAGCAACAGCGGGAGGAGTGACGCCGCCCAAGGTGCAGGCCCAGCTGGAGGAAGACTACTCCGTGAAGAAGAACCAGAAGGTGGAGAAAATCATCCTCGTGGAAAAGGAATCCCTGATTATAATCCAAATAAATGATGGAGTCTATTTTGCGAAGGAGTCTCAAATGCAGAGTTTAACTCTCCTCTGTAAGGACGCTAACATATGTACATTGAATGAGAAGAGCAAAACTGATTTAGTGGTATATAGCATGAAAAAGAAGAAATTGTTTTTTTTTCACTTGGACAATGGAAGATATAAGGCTGAAAAAGAGATGTCCTTCACTGAATTCATAACGTCCTTCCTCTGGATCAATGACTCTCTTTTTCTTACAGTCCAAAAGAGCTACTATCTTCTCCGATTAAACAAAAATGAAAAAATTATTCTCTACAGCCATGAGTATGAACAGGCCTATAAGTACATAACCCTAATTAATGTGAATGAGATTTTTATCGTCTGCGACTTAAACATTGGAGTTTTTTACGACGTGGAAACATCCATGCCGAGTAGGAAGAATACGATTACGTTGGTGGATAATGTGAGACATCTTCTCTCCTTTCGTTTCTTCCTCTGTTGTTTGAGCTCAAAGGGCGTCGTCAACTTTTACAATGTCACTAATCAGCAGCATGTTCAGACGATATGCATGGAGGAGTACGTAGATCCCCTCGTGAACTATAGCAATGTGTGCAGCTCGCTTCTCTGTCCGATGCTGCTTCTGGAGGGGGAGGGTCTCCTGGATCAGGGGGACTTCTCTCCTGGAGGAGACCCCGACGAAGGGGTTCGCTATGAGCAGAACTTGGATGCAACCCTGACGAATGTGTACCATAATCACCCTCATCATCTTCGTCACCAATATCATCCCAGCCAACCATCTCAACACCGTGGTTCTTCCCCTGATCAGTATTATCCCAGTGGAGCGGATGACTCCTCCCCAATGGACTCACCCAAATTAACAACTCAACCACGCGATCGCACTGCACCAAACAGCTACATCTACTTTTTCAGCAAAAGATCCATCCACGTCGTGACATGCCAGGAGTTATTTGAGTATCTCCCCAAGTGTATCCAACAGGGAAAAATAGACAAAGGGTTCCTCCTTATAGACAACTACCTCTTTGAGAGTGATGTGGAAAGAGTCAGCACCCTCAACGAATATAATAAGGCGTGTGCATATTACCTTTTCTCTCGAGCCCAATTTGCCCTATCCTTTTTGCACTTTCAACAAACCGACGTGAATCTTCCTTTTTTGCTCTCCTTCTGGGAAAGGTACCTCTCCAGGGGAGGAGGCGAAGAAAAGGGGGATCACATCAGATGTGCTTCTAACCCCAAGAGTGACCCACAAGAAGTGATCAGTAAACCTTTTAATGCTTGTTTGCCTCCCCTATGTAGTGTGGAAGAAATAATCGAGCGAAATTTATCCCCACAGGGGAATAATGATGGGGGGGGGGAGGTGCTCCCCTCCCAGGACGTGGCTAACTCCACAGATCGGGTCACAGATCGGGTCACAGATCGGGTCGAAGATCAAATTATGGGAGAGACCCCACAGCAACAGGAAGAAGAGAGAGAGAGAGAAAAAAAAAAACTTCTAAAAATAGCCAACAACTGTTTAATCAAATATTTGGTAATGAGGAGAAACGATTTTGTTCTGGAGGAGGGAGGAATGATGGGCCTCTACGAAGAGCAACACAGTGTTACTGAGATGAGTGCACAGGAGGAAGCCACTGACACGGAAAAGCAACCAAACGGGGAAACAACCCAGATTGGAAGAAGGAACAATCTACTCACCTGCGTGGACAATTTACTAATCAAACTGATGGTCATAAACGAATGGCCTGGATTTTCTCACTTCCTCATGAACACGCAGAACTTACACCTGCACATGGGTGAGTGCATCCGCTTTTTAAAGAAGCACTCCAAGTTCGTAGAAACAGCGCTCATGTACATACGGATGAAACGATTTGAAGAGGCCATCCAGATGTGCGCCACGTTTCTATCCGTGTACAATGGGTGGCTGCGCGCGGGGGAAGCCCAACAGACGGAGGACCCCGGGACGAGCAGTTCAGCCGTGGCCCATCCCGATCAGGAATGGAGCAACTTCTTCCTGAAGCAGAAATTTACAAAAAATGTCGATAAAGGAACAGCCTTACACTCACTGTTAAAAGAAATGTACAACATACTCATGGTGCTAAACGACAGCTTACACATGATGGACATCAAAAAAAGTCAAATAAAAAAATTGTTTGAAAATGCCTTCCCCTTTCTCATAAGATTTAACGAAAGCGCATTTTTTGACTTCATTGTATCGAGAAACATCCTCTTAAAACCGGAGGAAATTCTAAACATGTTCAAGAAGATGGAAAGAGACAAATTACACATAAAGGGAAAACACTACATGCAGAAATATATCACTACTTTTTTAAAACATGACAAAATGAATAAAGAGGTGAACACTAGTTTGGTGGAGTTTTACCTGAACGATGTGGAAATACCTGAACAAGTCAGGCAGAAAAAAATTTTGCGATTTTTGCGATCAAGCTATCCCTTGGATGTCGCCCACTTGGCTGGGATGGTGCCTCGCGGGAAGTTCCCCCTCGTGCAGGCGCTGCTCTTTGGCCGGATGGACCACCACTAGTAAGTTTCTCAGCGGGGAGGGTAACGCCACGCCGCAGTAGCACCATGGAAGTGCCTCCACACCGCTGCCACGCTGCCGCTAGACTGCCGCCACTCCCCGCCATCACAACTGCGTTACTCCCCCTCGCAGCGACAGCCTAGTCATCCTAACGGAGCAGAGCCTGAGCATATGCGAGAAGTACTGCCTCTACCACAGCCTCCTGTTCAACGGTGCCGCCAAGAGGATGAGCAAAGAGGACCACGACAGGCTTCTTGTAAGCCTGTACCACAATGAGAAGGAGGTTTACCGAGGTTTATATGAGCAAATGAGGAAGGGAACAGAGGAGGAGGAGAAGCAGGACGCACCGAAGGACAGTCACGTGCAGAGGAAGGGGACACGTGCAAACAGAGGACACCATGCGAGAAGGAGGGAAAAACTGAATGATGCATTCATCACTGGGATGATGAGAAACTATCACAAGGAGGTCTACATTGGCATGGAAAAAGGAGTACTAGCAAAACTGGGAAATCAAAGGAGACGAGGAAAAAACAGGAACAATCAGTTCGATGGAGAGAGTGACGAAGGGACGTCCAACGAAAAAGAGGAATATCATTTTATGTTGAGTCTAATGGAGCAAGAAAGGGGAGACTCAAGTGAGGATCAACTAACCGAGGTGTATTACGATGATGGGGATGCTAGCTTTGTGAAGGATGTTGACGGCAGCCCCAATCTGTCCGCCGATTCTTGGAGCGACGTGAGCACTGACTCAGGAGTGAGCAGCGACTCAGACGGGAGAACCACCTCAGATGAGGGAAGCCCCTCCGATGGGAAAACGTGCTCCAGTGTTGATGACGATGTGGTGATGCAAGGAAAACGGAAAGGGAGGAAGCGATCCGGAGGGGGCGCAGATTGGAATAGGAAGAACCGAGGGGGGGGTCCAAGTAGGAGACCCCACAAGAGGAAGGAAGGTACAGACAGGAGGAGTCTAATGAGGAAAGAAGAGGAAGCAAAAAAAAAAAAAGAACAACACTTTGCCGGTAGCAAACACAGGAATTTGGATGTCGACGTGTTGGACTACTTCGACGTGTACAGAAGCGGAAAGAACCGATCGTGCGGCTTCTTCTTCCTCCTTGTGAAGGTGTGCCTAGACAAATATAATGACACAAACATCGATCAGGAGAAGAAGGAAACCTACAAGAATTACGTCACGTATATTCTGAACAAATATTGCCATCACGGTGACTTTGAAAATACATATATTCTTGAGATGATTCCGGAGGAGTGGTCCCTCTCGCAGATCCTCCACTTTGTCAGCATAAACGTAAAGAAGAAGACTAACCTCTACATGGACTTGCATCATTACCACAATTTGGTGAAGGCTAACTTTTTGAGTGCGTCTTATGAGCTCATTGCGGGGAAGGAGCAGCGGCTCCTAGTCAAGTCTAAGCTGTAATAATAAGAGAGCTTTTTTAGGGGGTGCTTAGAAGGAAGCCCGCCCTATGGTGTATGGGCGGGGGTAAGGTTCCTTCCCATTTGAGTAGCCACTATATATGCCGCACTCCACATTGGCCCCGACTGCCATCCCTACCACACTGCTTTTCCCACTTATCCTCCCCCCCCGTCGCAGAATCTGCCAGGTGTGCAAAGGTCCAATCACGGAGAAACGTTTCGCCTACTTTTCAGACAAAGTGGTGACCCACATGCAGTGCTTGGAGAAGTACGACGAGGACGTCCACCGGTGAGAGACCAATCGGAGACAAGCGCGCGCTACAGAAGCTTCGTCGAAGCTGAACCCAAGATCCACCGAAGTGTAAGAAAAGTGCCAGATGAGCCGCCTTCAGAAGTAGTGTAGTAACTCCCCCAACCAGAATGCAATCGATACGATCGATGCAGCAGATGCAATTTTTTTTCTTTTTTTTAAATAATTCCGCGTGAAGGAATCATACTGAGAAGTTATACAAGTGTAGCCGCGGTATACCAAAGATAATTTATTGCCTTTTATTTTTTTATTTTTATTTATTTATTTTTTTTTTTAATCCACTTCTGTTTGTACGTCGACTTAGTCTACGCATGTGTAGCACACAGCAAAGACTAACCGGTTTAGGATTCACCTGGAATTTTTTTTTTTTTATCATTAATTTTGGCGAAGTGGATATCTCAAATAGGGATATGTTCCCCCCCACAAATAGGAATGTTGAACCGTGGAGCTGCCACACCGCGCATGCTCGGTTGCCAGGGCTATCTTGCCTGATCGCAATTCAAACCGACTTCCTTTCCACATCCACCCCTATCGCTGCCTCTATCGGTATCCTTATCCGTCTTTTTTTTCTTTTTTTTTCCTTCCCCTTTCCGTGTCAGAGTCCAATTCATCATCATTTCGTTAAATGCAGAAGAACGAAAGTTAATTTTTTTTTTTTCTCATCATACACAGAAAGGGGAGACATTTCGGGGAGGTCAATCCCTTTCGTTTGGAATAATGTTGCGATTAAGTTGGGAGCTGTGCGGGGCGTAGTGTTCTACACGTTTCCATTACCCCTCCTCTGATCGGAAGTGAACTGATCCGTTTGGACATTAGTCCATTGCACTCTTCCCCTTCGAGGGGGCTACACCCACTCTGCTATTTCTCTCTCTAACTTGATAAAGCATAGGGTTTGACACCACAGGGTGGCCGCTTTTTTTTTTTTTTTTTTCCTTCTAAGTGAAGCGGCGGGGGTTGGGAAGCCAGATGAATAATCCTAATATGGCGAACAGGTAACACACCTTTGCTGCTTCATCCAAGTGGAGAAGACACATCCGCTTTTTTTTTTTCCTTGCTTAAGGGCGAATCTATTGGGACTTCCGCCCCTTGCCCTCAAACGACAGTACACTTCGAACACTGCGCACGCTTCATTCGTCAGATCTAGTCTGGAATATTCATCACGAAATCTCAGACGTAAATTACCCAAATATATTTAATACTCATCATAGAACGAAGCGTCTGCGTTGTTCTTCTGTCGTGAGGGGGGGATTGGTTTGCCAAAAGAAATGAATCGCGCCTACGGATAGGATACCATTTGTGGCAGCTTAAAATTGGATGTGCTCCGCACCCTGCAAGGAAAAGGCACTTTCCCTTCTGATGTTTTTTTTTTTTTTAAAAAAAATTTTAAATCGTAGCTTTTTTGCGAAACTATTTCGGGGTGGTCTTCTAGTGCGTGATGTACCGCTGGGAATGTTCTTTCGTAGCATTTCGCCAAAGAAGAAAAAAAAAAAATATGGATGCACGGGAGGAGGGGGACGGTTGGGATAAACACACAACAGGCATCTGTGCGGGTGGCCTACTCTCCACGTGCACGTGCACGTCATTGCATATGTAATGTACGTAACGAGTTATCATTCCTCTTCATGTGCCTCTTTTTTCCCCCTTAAGGAGTAACACATAAGTATATGTGCACACCGCAGGGTTAATAAACTGGGGTGCTTTCTCTGCAAAGGACGCTGCTCCGATACTTTCTCCTCACACAGTGCCGCTCTGGTGCTCTTTCTCCACTTGGTCATATGAGCCTCACTGCAACTTCTCCACGTATTTGGCCAACTGCAAAGGGGCGTAAAACGAAAAAGGGGTGATCTGTGTGAATATGCGTCCATCACATGATGGGATAGAAGGAAAGGAAGTATAGCCAAATGGGTGGAGCGACACCTTCCTCTATTCGCTCTCTACCGCGCCGCTGCCCAGCCTGTGGGTCGCCGCGAAGAAAAGATTTTTTTCAGAAGTAGAATTCATTCTCAAATTGGTTTCGAATCAGGTCTGTTTTTCTCATCATTAAAAATCCTTCCTCTGGGTCGAGGTGGTTCGCAGAGGGAAGCTTGGCAGGTTAATGAGTCCACTATCCAGCGGCTCCCTTGTCCAGCGGCTCCTCTGCCTATCCGGTTAATCGCAACGTCGCTCCCCTTGCCCATCGGTTTACCTTTTCCTTGACACGCCTCTTCCTTAGCTTGGCGTTAAGCTTCTTGGGCTTCTCGTGCTTAGCCACGAACTTCTTCAGCTTGGCCTTGCTCTTCTGCACCTTCTCCGGGTTCTTCCTTATCTTCTCGTGGGCACTCAGATACATCTGCTCTATATTATTCGCGTCAATTTTGTTTTTTATGTAATCATTAAAGTGAGCTTTGTATTTGTCCATGTCCTCCTCTTGCAATGTCTGCATATATTCAGCAACGTGGATGCCAAGGATGTTCTTTCTCAATTGCTCGGGATTAAATTCATTCTTCGATCCAGGGAATCGGTTCGTCCCGTGAGGAATATTTAATCCTCCATCACATGCTCCCTTCAAAGCGGCAAAGACGCGATTGCCTGTCGTCGTCCTGGTAATACCAACATCTAGGAATGCTTTAATTGGTTTTCTTTCCTCATCGTCATCCTTATCATCATTGTTTTCATTCATGTCATCTGTTAGTTTCTCCACTCCGACAAACTGAGTGTCCAGATTCAGTGACTTCAAAAATCTCCTTGCACATAGCAACCCTGTGGCGTATGCAGCTGCGTAGTTTTTCAGCCCAACGGGGATTCCGTAACGGATTAGTTCCTTCGATTTGGCTTCTGCCAGAATTTTATCACCTTCAATGTGTGCACTTGCTATCTGACATATGATCTGGCAGTTGGTTTTTCGTACAACAAATCGGAGCTTCTGCGCGTTGTACTTGTTTTTATCTTGCAGAATCAACGCCTTTCGAGCTCGGTAATCCGTTTTGCCCTCTACGGGGGGGGGGGGTACACAAACGTACAGTGAGGAGACAGAAGCATAGAAGGGAGAAAAGGATACATGTGTAGCCCCAGGTGGAGGTGTAATCACCCAATGCGACACGAATGAGCAGTGGCGAACTCGCCGACAAAGGTTAGAAGCTGCCTCTCTACTTCCGAATGTACCAAAGTCAGGTGAGTCAGCAACTTGCGATAAATATGCGTAACTCGTTTTATCAGTGGCATGTTTTTTTTTTTTTTCAATTTAGCCTCGAATAAAGCATCTCTCATAACTTTTGCTATTAAGAACGTGTTCATTTATTTAAGGCATGGGTGCGGGGTGGTTAGCGGTGGGTGTGGGGCGTGCACTCCCCAATAAGATGCATACAAGTCACGTAATAGAGATTCTTTTCTACAACACGCGTAACTTGAACGTACCTCTTCGCCTCCTATACTTCACCTGGTACCTTTTAAAGTAGGCCTTGTTCTTAACAACCTTGACATATGCCATTTTGCTTTTTTTCCACGCGGATGATTATGTTCTTTTCTCTGACGTGAAGGGTTTGAAACGTTTGAAGCAGCTGCGTGAACGATCCGTCAGCACGCAGGAGTGAAGAAATCACGTAACAGCGGTTTTGCCTCAAGCGGGAAAAGTTAAAAGAGGAGTGGTTCGTAAAAAATACAGCATAAAGCAGAAATGCACAGAAAAATGAAAAACGAAAAATAGTAAGTGAAAAAGGAAAAATGTTTTTTTTCTTTTGGTAAAAATAAAACTTACGAAGCGGGAGGCAAAAATTGATCGGTCAAAAAGTCATTGACACAACTGCGAGGAATATATATGAGAAGTGTTTCTTTTTTTTTTAAAACAAAACCGTTTGGGGTAAGCACCTTTGAGTTAAAGCTTGCGCATATGGTAAAAAGGGTACCATTTTATTATCATATGTATTGTCGCAACATAACGTGCCGTCGCTTCCTGCCACCGCGAATCCACTGTTTTTTCTCTCTCACCAGGTTGAGCGGCGATGCGCCATACAATCTTGTCACGTAGGAACATACGTTGCGGGGACCATCGTCATGGAAGGGGGGGGGCATACAAAATAGTGGGCATCATGCTTTCCGCAGAGAAGTGGGCTGCTTCACCCCGCTTGGCCATGCTCAGATATATGCGCCACAGCACAGGGAGCAGAAAAATACACGGCGGTACCGCATAATGCATAATAGTATACGTGTCGTAATCGACTTGCCACAGCGAGGTGATGCACTTTAGTTACCTCCTGGCATTGGCGTCGCTTTGACAGGCGCAGGGGAAGAGGATTGCACTTCTTTTCACCTTGGTGGAGTTTTTTTTTCCACTCGAGGGGACAAACTGGGACTACCCACATTGATCGGTGTAACATTTGTATATCTTCCCACCCCCTCCGCAAAAATAAAAAAACATCCTATCGAGTGGAACCCCTTAATAAAACGTTTTGTTACCTTTTTTTTCTTTCTCAACTATGATAGGCAGCCTAGTGTATTTATTCCGAGAAAATAGGTCCAATTAATGGTTGGTTCTGCTCCCGGGGGGATGAGCATTTGTGACGGTGAACAGTTACTACGCTTTACTTAGGTGCATGGACCCCTGTTTATACGTACGGGCTGGGCGACATGCGCCATAAAAATCAACGCAGACTTTTATGGACCGTATGCTGAGATATATGGGTCGAACTATATATAAGACGTATGGCGCCCCCCACGGGGAAGAAGCGGAAGGTGCATACTTCAAACGGGGGGGGGAAACTCCCAAATGTGATTTTTAGCTAGCTCTTTTTTTAAGTATTCCTTTCCGTGCGCGCTCCCCCCTTCACTCCAAAAGGCATTTCCAATATTAATCGCATCTGTCACCATGTTGGAGATATATGCTTTCCCACATGTCACGCTTCCCATTCTCTTCAGAGGGGGAAACATTACAAAAAGGGCGTTGACCGACATGACACCTCACTCGAGAAGGTATGCACCTGCGTTGTGTTCATCTTATATGGATGAATCATATAGGACTTTACTTCTTGTGCCCATCTCTTCTTAGTTGCTAGGCCTGAATAATGCCTCGCGGGGGACGCTTCACCTCCTGTATCACTATGCGGTTTGGGAAAAAAAAAACAGTCACGACCGATCGCGCCTACGCATCAAACGCATATATGTATACATTTATTATACGCATAAATACCCCCCATTAGGTTCACGTTTGGGGGCCAATTTCATCGCGTTAAGATTGCGCCCTCCCCCAAAGTCGATTACGCACAATTTTTAGTTTTGATTGGTGACGGACATATATATAGTATTATGTATCCCTTTCGCCTCCAGTTTGCGTTTTTTTTTTTTCCTTTAAATGTATTCCCCTCTATATCTTGCTTGCTCATTTTTTCCCCCCTTCCCGTTTTAACCATTAAGTTGTTAGCTACTTGTTGGGCATCCCTCCATATATTTCATATCCGCCTTCCGTTTGAGGGGAAAAAAAAAAAGTTATGAACTGTACAGGCGATTTCTTTACATATTGTACGCATTTTTCTTTTTTCTGCATTTCGGCGGTGGTGCTAATTTTTCTGTATAAAAGAGTTTTTTTTTTTACTTTGCGTTTTAAGTTACACTCTGCCTTTTAATTTATATTTTGCTCTTTAAAAGTTTTTTTTCTTCTTTTTATTTACCTTTTCCTTATCACTACCAAGGAACGAAAAACGCGTTTTTCTTCTTGTGAATGATACGCCCCATTTTCGCAACATAAAATTGTTCTTCCTCACCAAAGGGAAAGAAGGAAAAAAAAAAAGGGGGATCGGTTGATTTGCCGTCGCACGCCAGTAGTAACACATTGTATATACACTATATACAGTTTGCCCTTACCTACATTCATTACGTTTTGTAAATCTAAGAGGAACGAAACATTCGCTCCCCCCGTAGATGCGTGAAGATTTACTCACACAATGGTAAGCATACCTGCAAATATGTATTGTTAAGCGGAGAATCGCGGCGACAAAAAAAAGGGGGAAGAAAAGCCGGTTGCTTGACTCGAACTGAACGGCTTTATTTGGTGAAACGAATTTAGGCACATTCAGGTGGTGGTAGTGGGTACCTCTCTGAATATACCTCTTCACCAGTGTGTCCCCTGTATTCTGTTCCACTTTATTTTTTTCGCTCCACTTCACCTTGTTCCTCTTTTTTTTTTTTTTTTTTTTCCTCTCTTCGAAGGCCAAAGATAAAAAGCAACCTAAGAAACCCTCGAAGAAAACGCCAGCGCCCTGCCCGCTGAGCAACAAAAAAACTGTGAAGAAGGATATCAAGAAGGAAAAGAAAAAGGGAATTCGAAGCAATCCACTCATCTTTGAGAAAAAAAAGAGGAGTAACATAATCGGTGTGGGTGTTCGTGCCAAGAGGGACCTATCCAAGTATGTCAAGTGGCCCAGGTACATTCGCATCCAGAGGAAGAAGAAGATTCTATTGGAGAGGCTGAAGGTCCCCCCCTCCATTAACCAGTTTAACCACACGCTATCGAAAAGCCAGGTAGGGCACACTGGACCCAGATGTAGTGCGGAGAAGCAAGGGAGTATTACTTCTTCCCTCCCCCCGGTTTGTTTTACTTCCCCCCCCCCACACACACACACACTCACCCACATTTTCCTCTACTCCTCTCCACGCAGACACAAGATCTGGTGAACTTCCTCAAGACGTACAAGCCAGAGTCGAAGGCGGAAAAGAAAAAGAGACTTCTGAACAAAGCCAAGGACGCATTGAACAAGGTGGCATCCAGAGATAAGAAGCCGATGATGATAAAGTACGGAATTAACCACATCACCAAGTTGGTGGAGAGAAAGAAGGCCAACCTTGTGGTGATTGCTAATGACGTCTCCCCAATCGAATTGGTACTCTTCTTACCCACCTTATGTCGACTTAAGGATATTCCCTACTGCATTGTGAAGGATAAGGCAACCCTCGGAAGACTCGTTCATAAAAAAACAGCCACAGCCATTTGTGTACAGAATGTTTCAAAAGAGGACCAAGAAAAATTGGACTACTTTTCAAAAATATGCAGAGAGAATTTCAACGACAATGTGGACATTAGAAGAAAATGGGGTGGCCAGAAAATGAGCGCCAAGTCCATGATGCTGAAGAAGCTCAAGGACAAGGCGAGGAGGATTGAGGAGGCCAAGAAGAAGGAAATTTCCGCCAAGCTCTAAGGTAAGGAAAGGGACAGCTGGAACAGGAGAGATGAAAGAGTAGAACAGGATGTGCTTACTCGTAATGCAACACTTCTGTTGTGCTTCCTCTTCGCGCATTTCCGCAAATGTGTTCATCCCGTTAGGCGGTGCACTTTGTATGTACACCTGTTACGTGAATTATATTTGAGGAAATGGAAAAAAAAAAATTGCGCTTTTATAGCGGCCCCCCGAGTAACTGCCCATCCCTGCTGGTTTAGCCACAGTGGGCACATTCCACTCGAAAATGTTGTGTCAACTGCTAGAAATCAGCGAAAATAATTTCATAATTTTAGGAACCATTGAAAGAATTGATTAATTTTTTTTAGTGGGCCGTATTTATGAGCACAATTTGTTTCGCGCGCAATGGAAGTTTAACCCCCATTTTCCCATCATGGGTGCGCGTTCCCCCCTTTGTGCATATACTCTTTATAAGAAAAAAATCACTCACGTGTACGTGTGCCTATCTGCATAGGTGCAAAAACCGACGTGTGTAGTATTCCTACATGCCGGAAAAGAAGGCGCCATTGAGAATAATTATCATGATGAAAAATTTCAGGAAGTGCCGTCTGAGTATACATGTTGACGATAATTAAAACATATCTGAACATAATTATTTTCAATGCGCCTGGAGAGAGTTTTTGGCAATTTCGCCATCATCATTTTCTTTTCCTCCCTTTTTTTTTCGCGGCGTTTTATTTTGTGTCACTCCGTTCGTTCACTACAGGTAAGCAACGGAAGCGCGCTTTTACGCCGATGAAGAACATAACAGGGAATTGAGACAGGAACGTCCACGTCAGAACGAACATGATACGACCAACCTCGTGCATACTTACATAAACAGTGTATCCCCGTTTGGTGTAAGTGGGACTGCTCGAATAAGGAATAATCCCCCCCACCCTTTCCGCTATGTTGATCCTTTTTGGTTGATTAGCTAAGAAACCGTGTGCAAATTTTTTTTTTTTTTTTCACAACCGTCTGGCAATTTTTTACCTCAACAATCAGGTAAATTGGGGTGTCCTCCCAAACGGTAGGGGAAGAAAAGGAAAAAAAAGTGGCAAAAGAAGGAAAAAAAAGGTAGCAAAAAAAGGGAAACAAAAGAGTGGAGCCTTAAGGCAAGTTCAAATGGATCCACAGGGTGAAACGGGGAACCCCCAGTTCGGAGGGACGTCTCTATAGATTCCCCGACGCAGCTGTGCGCGTGTAGCTAGGTGGTGACGAATTGCTTCGCGTTCTCCTTGGTCTTCACTTCTCTTTCCCCTTCCCCTGCGTCTTCTTTTCCACGTCTCTACTACTTATTTTATCGTATCATATCATATGGCATCTTCTCCCTTCCCTTCCTTTCTTTTCATTTCTTTTTTTTTTTTTTTAACTTATAAAAATTTTTTCACCAGTCCCCGTTCGGGGTTAACATGTGTTACACATACGCAAGTTGTACATACGGGCGATATTGCGACTGCGCTGAACTGTCCATTTTTAGGGCAGTTCCATAGCCACCGTTCATTTTGCCAGTTTTGAGAAGCGTTTTTATTGTTAAAGGAGTTGTGCCCCTCTATGACGCAACGATAAAAAAAAAGAAAAAAACCTTTTAAATGAAGCAAAACCGACCAACCTGTTTTTTTGGCGAGCAAATGGGGGGGGGTATCCGCGTTGAGGGTCGCTCGGCTGACTCTTCCCTCGTTGCGGACGGGAGCACAAAACAGCCAAACGAATCGAAACGGATGATCGAACGAATCGTGAAGGGGCTGATCATGCTGGTCACAAAATAAGCGCGTAGGTACACCATACGGGTAAGCTACTCCCCTTGTGGTAATTAAACAGAACGCCTCAATCCTATTTACCAGCGAGTTGGGCGCATATGGAAATGGTGAGGTTTGTTCAAATCAGCAGATAAAGGGAACTGCACGTAGTTACAAGAAAAAAAAAAAAAAAGCCAAGTAACCAAGAAATGAAGTAGCCACTTATTTTAACAAAGTGAAATATGAACCAACCATTACATCTATGAAAATTATATGCAACAACTGCTTGGATGGGGAAAAACTCCTGCAGCCACGCTTTGGAGTATGTTGTTCCCCCTGCGTGGATGCATCATGCATTTAGTAACCATGTTGACTCTATCCTTTCGATGTGGCCCTTTCACTTTTAAATGGCCAGTCCGAGAGGTACATCTGATGCGTTTAAAAAATTAAACACGAATATTTGTTTCCACTCCAATGGAACATAAGAAAAAAAAGAGCGGTTGTGCTGCTAATGTAATTTATTTTGAATAAAGAGTATAGGGGGTCGCCACAAGGGTCGGCGGCGATGCATCTTTTTTTCCACCCCTCCCCTTTTCCCCGCGCCTGGTGGGATAATAACATAGAGGAGGGCGGTTAAAAGAAATAAGAGAGAAAAAAAAAAAAGTGCGAAACTGCGTTAGAATTCATATTTTTTGTTTCTTTATTTTTGCAAAAATTGATTCGCCTGGTTTGTTGCGTATGCGTGTATCAGTATGCGACAGTGCCTCGCTGAGGGGACAAAATGAAATAAATTTGCTTTGCTTCATTTTGTTTTCCTTGATTTTGTTCTCCTTCATTTTGTTTTCCTTCATTTTGTTTTCCTTCATTTTGTTTTCCTTCATCTTGTTCTCCTTCATTTTGTTCTCCTTCATTTTGTTCCCTTCATTTTGTTCTGCTTCATCTTGTTCTCCTTCATTTTGTTCTCCTTCATTTTGTTCTCCTTCATTTTGTTCTCCTTCATTTTGTTCTCCTTCATTTTGTTTTCCTTCACTTTGCTTCCTTCACTTTGTTTTGCTTTTCCCTTTTTTGCATTGTAAACGTAGTGAAGCTCCGTGCAGCAGAAGCGTCACCCTGGTCGACTTCACGATTCATTCGATTGACCAATCCAATCCAACCGCTTATTGCTTGCTGCTTTTTTTTTTTCTATCGTGGAAGAAGTGGGACGCGTCGTACGGACGGTAGACTGTACTAGCTACGCAGCTCGCTTCCTTCCCTCTTGCGCCCAAGTGAGAGGAGTAATGTTTTGAATTTCTCCTGTTTGTTGCACATACAGTAGTATAATGTAGAGTGCATCACCACACCAGTGCTTAACCCTAATGTTTACCCCTTTTTCGTCGCCTTCCATTTTACCTGAAGATGGTACGGATTGCGTAATCTCCATGAGTGTTGTAAATTATGTAAACGAAAAGAAAAAGGCCCATGGTATCTGTTCAAAGACGATGCCAGGGTCCTAATTTGAAAAAAAAAAAAAAAAAAAAGGATGATAAGAAACCTTCTATTTATATCAAAGCCTTTCGGGTCTGAAGTGTAAATAATGATGATTAGGATTCACTGATTTTTTTTTTTTTTTTTTTTGTTTCTTACGAATGAGAGTTGCATAGTCTGTGATATATTTCCTCCTTCATTACAAGAGGAATGATGAAGGCTTTATTTGGAGTGACCCACACTCAAGGAGAGATAGCGATAAAACAGCTAAGTACACTTGGGTGGAAATGATACTTTGGCGCGCCTACCCTATCAGAGGGAGGGTCCCCACCTAAGTTGTCTTTTACCAAACGAATAGAAGAGGTTGGAGGTACGGCGTGTTGGTGGAGAGTGTGCGCAGTTATGCGGCCCATTCATCATGTAAACGTACAGAGTTATGTGTACTGATGGGTGCCCACCATCGCCTACGCATGCCGCTTCCCGTCGCCCCTACCCCTCCTTACCCCTGCGCAAGAGCTTTTTTGAGTTCTGCCATGGCGACTTAAGCCATAGCGGAAATAACTTCTTGCAAGAATGAGCAGTTGCTGATTATCCAGCTTGAAATTGGCCCATATGTAAAAGGTAATTTCTCGTTTTTTGATCACACAAAGGAGGAAAAAAAAAAGAAGAAGGGTATGTTTTGTACCCCCCCTCGAGGCATATTTAATAAACGAATCCCCCCTCTCCTAGGAGGTGGCACATCCTCGGTGGAGCCCCACTCTCCCAGGAACTACTAACACTTTCCTTTTTTTTTGTGATGACAAGAAATACACTTGGTCTGTGTTTCTGAAATAACATTAAGATGATAATTGTTGCTTTTCTGAGAAAAAAGGGAAAGCGATTAGACAAAAGAGGGATGGATGAATGAGCGTCGTGGGAAGGATAAGTGTGAGAGGCACGTCGAGGTGTACCGGTGAGGGGAGCATTGAGCTGTACTGCTGACGGGCAAGGGGAATCTCTTTTCATGGCTCGTGTCTCACCATCATGTGAGAATTCCGTAAGCAAGAAAAAGAATAAGGTAACAAATGTTAAGGGGGGCCATGTGGGGCGCTGCAGCTACAGCAGTAACGGAGTATTTATCAAAAGAAAATACACAATGACGGATTATTTATCAAACGAAAATACGCAGTCACGGTTATTCCGTGTTGACGTAGATCATCCAAATCGCCACACGGAGTGCAGCCGCCTCCGTTGCGTTAAAGGCTTTCATATATAACCGCTGAGCAGTTATATGAATCACCCTTTGTGGCGGAAAAACGGAGGCGGACGAAGCCACATCCCAGTGAGCAAAAAGAAAAAAACATCCGCCTCCCATCCGTGCCGAGTATATGGAACACCATATCCCGGCTAAGGGCATAAAAAAAAAAAACCATATCAAAATCCCACGTGTATTATCGTTTTACTTTACGAGTTATTCGTGAGTAACAGGCGAATTAATAATATCCGTGTTTCATGGGGTATGAACATCAGAGAAGTGCCAGTGGTGGCGGAAGGTAGATAACACTTCTCCCACACATCGCTACACTCCATGTGTGCCATTTTAGACAAACGAAGTTCTACCGCGTCGACGAAATACGCACGTAAATATATCCCTAGCGGGCAGGATCTTTTCAACACAATGAAAAAGATCATAATCAGTCTAGGTAATAAAAAATAAAAAAAAATAAAGAAAACGTTGTAATGAGTTTTTTCATACTTTACAACGCCTTTTTTTTTTTAACATAAAAAAGAAAGAAATGGGGGGTGGACACCAGGCGGAGTTATATATAGTGGTATTTTATTTCTTTTTTTTTGGAGGTGTGGGAAAAAATTTATTGCTCTTGTTAGAGACTCATATCGTGGTGGATATACTTTACCGACTTTGCAGCGTTCCCTCTCGCTTGTCACGTGGGCACTGTAACCGCGCCACTAGCTCTCCGCTTCAAGTAGGCGAGGATCTCCCCCCTCTGAGGTGCGTTGATATTCCGCTCGAAAAGGGCCCTATCGTGATCAAGGTACAAATTGGGCTCGTTCAGCGACATGCCCTCCATGATGCTCATTTTAACATTCTGTAAAATGTTCGTAGGAATGAACAGAAAGTGGAAGGCAAAAAAAAGGGAAAAGACAAAACAACTATCCTTCATCTTGTCATTAAATAATTCATTTGAAAAAATATCAGGAAAGAAAGTTACAACACTTTGTTTTAGAATCTCCATCTTCTGCTTTTTCGTCAAGCTGCTATCAAAGTGAACACAAGAGTTGTCTATAAAATGCTCCTCATTTTGATTCATACATATATCGATTAGGTTAATCCTCAGTGCGTCCTTCGCTCTTATGGTATCTCCTGTAAGTAGCAAATGCTTTGCGTAACTCATTGGAATGGCTCGGAACAGCTTCTGTGTGCTCCCTCCGTAGGGAAATAATCCTAAATGTGTTTTATTAAATCCAAAGGTGCTGTCTTCACTAGACAATTTGAAATCCGTGGAGAGCATCAGATCCATTGCACTGTTGTAGCACTGCCCGTTGATGCTGCTTATTGTGATTAGCGGCAGATTCTGAATTGTGTTGCATAGGTAGCGGAATGAATTGGCAAGCTGCACGTTCAGCTGCTCGTCGTTCTTCAGGAAGGAGTTATAGTCCGGGGTGGAAGCGGTGGTGGTGGCAGCCTCACCATCCTTACCACCGCCTGCACCCTTAGTCTGTCCACCCTCCCCGCTAAGGATCAGGACCTTCATCCGATTGTCCAAGTAAGGAATCCTGTTGCGCAAATTCTTCACCAAGTAGTTTTCCCTCCGTGGAAACTCTTTTATGTAGAAGGCGTTCATCTCCTCATTGGACATGATGTTGGTGATGTGTTCTATGACATTCTTCAGCTCGTCTAGGACATCTCCAAAGATATTCTTTTTCCCATTGATGATGTTTCTAAATCTTACAATGCCAACGCTCATTGATTCATCACGGTAGAAGTCCACGTACCTGTGGTGGCTGAAGTGATGATTGGTTGCATCTTTCACCGGTGCGTCCTTCGCGGAGGCGTCTTGCGATTCCTTGGTACTGCTTTTGTGCCGCCTGGGCAGAGAGACCAACTTGGGGAGGCCTCTTCTAAAGACGACATGGGCCGTCCTGCTGCTCAGCAGCTTCGAAAAGGGACTCCTCCGCGCGAGCATTGCGTTGGCCAAACAATGCTAGAAGCGGGTGGAGGCCGGTGGAGCGGGATGAAACGCAGTTACGCTGAGAAGCAGTTAAGAGAGGCAGAGCTACCCCTCGAGATAGAAAAAAAAAAAAAGAGGAACACAAGGGACGAAGTGGTACCAAATGGTACGAGGTGGGAAGCCTCGATAACAATTGTCGAGCTGCGAAACTGAACTTTCTCAAGAAGTCAAAGGCGCGGCGGAACCGCTGGGTTAAAAAATCGGCCCGGAATAAAAACACAGAAAAAAAAGAAAAAAAAAATAAAATGTGGAAAAATAGAATGAGGAAAAGTAAAATAAGCCAAAGCAGAATGAGAAAAAGTAAGATGCAGCCAAGTGAAACAAAGGAACTTGTTCCACAAGAAGGACGAGTGACGGAGGGGGGGTAACCCCAATCTGCCACCCGCAGCCCACGTTCTCGCCGCAAACCAGGCGTTGTGTATACGCGAGGATACGTGTGCATTGACACTTCGACCCCCATGGTGCCAAGAAGAAAGGTTCCGACTGTGCCAGCGAAGCAGCATGCGAGCCTCACACGCGGGCTATACAATACACCGCTTCAACAAATAAAATGAAATAAAAGAAAATTAACAACTCGAGTCGGAGTCATTCCTCAGCTTGGATTCTTCGGCCACCTTCTGCCAGCGCTCCATGAGCTTCATCTGAGCATGTGTATAGGGGGAAACACTCGAGATGTCGGGGAGAAACGATAAATGCACACGTGCGGTTATGCGACCCTCCGGTTTGCGTAATTCGTCGTGGACAGCCAACGATCAGCGTCCAACGATTACCGTCTAACGACCAGTCGCACAAACAGCCAGCCGCACAACACACTCGTGATGTACCTTCTTTTTGTGGAAGAAATTCGAATGGACCATTATCTTCTCATTTCGGCTTCTCCGCTGGGTGCTATTTCCCCCCGAGTTGGATGTGTGCGCTGAGGGGGTGGTTGAGAAGGGGCGCGGTTGAGGAAAGACGTAGTTAGGACACGGCGTTATGGGGCAGACTCCTCCCCAAGAAGTACACGCCATAAAAATGCAGGGCGATAGGATGGCACATTCCTTACCTTCACATTTCCCTTCTTCTGACTTGTCATTTTGAGAGAAAGCAGCATTGGAGAGTTCCCCCCCTTCTGTGGCAGCTTCACCGGCGGATGGCTCCATGGAAGATACCAAAGTTAAATTCAACCTGGGAAGTTCGCCATGTGGATTATTTTCGGGACCCTCCTTTGATGTGTTTTCCCGGCACATCGTCGTGGAGTTCTTCTCCTTCTCTTCTAGTTCACGTGCCAATTGGTTCTAACAGGAAAAGAAAAGATGTAACAAAAAGTAACCGCTACCGCGACCCCAAAGGCAACCTCCACAGTGATGGAGCGTGTCTGCTGCTTTGCCATGCTGCGCCTGGGGGACAAATAGGGGCGTAAAAAAGGAAAGAAAAAAATCACACACAAAAAAACACTCATAAAAATGCCCATTACCACCGTGTCCGCGTGTATCTGACTTATCCTTTTGGAAAAATAATCTGCACTTATTTCATTCCTTCGGAAGTCATCCTGCAGGGGGGGAAGGAAACGGTTGGGTCGGTCTTATGTCGACTTTCTCGTGCCATGGTCTCTACCCATGGATAGAGAAATGCTTGTCCTATCCGTCCTCTTCCAATCATTTCATCTCATTCCATTTTGCAAAGTACGATTCGTATGTCCAGAGCCTTCTTCGTGGTCAGTACGAATTCCTTGTTCTCGATTTTCTCAAAATTCTCGCTAATTGTTAGCAGCAGTTCTTTGGCCTATGCGGGATGGTAAGTAATGATGAGGCGGAGTGAAGTACACAGAGGGGTCATTCAACTGGCATAGAGAAAGTGACATATGAAGCAGAAGGCGGACATGTCAAGAAGCACGTCTTCTTTCCCTCCTGTGCCTTACCTCGCCCACAGCTGGAGAGGTCTCCTTCAAACCTAATTCCAAAAAAACTAGATCCTTCAGCATTTCGTCCTGCTCCTTGGAGGGCAAGTTCTCCCCCTGGGATGGAAGCTCACCTATTTGTTCCTTGCTCCTGTCTGAAATTTGTTCTCTACGCTGGCTCTCCTTGGCATATTCGTCAAGTGTGTAATTAATAAAATTGACTTCCTCGAGGAATAACTTTATTTTCTGGTCAATTGGGCAACTGCTGTTTTTTTTTTTTTTCTCGATTAACTGTTTGCACGTGTTTCTCATCAATTCCTCCGCCTCGTTAAAGTCTGTCTTCACCTCTGCTTCGTTAACAAGGTCTTCTATTTCGTTTAAGAAGGTTTGCAATTCTACGACGGGTGGTACGCATGTGTTTGGGGGGGAGCGGGTGTGTAGTGGGTGGGAAAAAGAAGCGAGAAGGCGGGGGCAAAAATGCGAAAAAATAAGCGAAAAAGCAGGGGAGAAAATACCCAAAAAAAAAACTGCAAACATATTCGTAGCCAGGAGGTACACTCCTTTTGCGGCCACATTGATCCCTTCGCGCCCAAGTCGCTGTGCACGCATTTGGGGGTGGCTGTGGGAGGTCGCAGGACTGTTCGTTGCCTACACGTTTGCAACAGACTCATGCGAGGCAACGTTTGTGATGAGTTATCTTCTGCACACGGCGGGTGGGTCTGCGAAGCGTTTCATTTTGTTTGCTATGCTTGGCTTCCTCATTTTGTTATTTTTTAATTTTATTTTTTTATTTTTTTTTTTTTCTCTATTCTGTGCCCCTTAACTCCCGCTTTGGGATATAGACACCCGAATCGGGCGCAATTCGAAGGGGGTCCTCTCCATCCTTCAAGATTTACAAGGTCAACGATTCTCATTGTCTACTGCGGTTTGTGCGGAGGCATGTTGACTTGGTACGCACACACCATGGGGAGTCAGCGAAGGGGGAACATGCTAAAGTGGTGATTCGATATCTTAGCCATACATATTCGTTCGCCGATCAGTACGCCTACACGTGCACATGTGTACACATATGCGCTTGTACACGTGCGCCTCTTTTTAAATTATAACCTTTTTCATTCGCATGTTCATTTTGCTCCTCGTCCATGCTTGTACAACTGGTGTGTGTTTTATTTTTTTTTTTTTTTGGCTTGTTGAATAAAAAAGCTAGCGAAAAAAAAAAAAAAAAAAAAAAAAAAAAAAAAAAAAAAAAAAAAAAAAAAAAAAAAAAAAGAAAAAAACATATATATATATATATGTCCTGTTCAGAACATTTTGGACTTGTTAATTTTCTTAAGTGTGAAAGTTCTCCAACGGCTCGACCATCCGTTGTTCCTTGTTCAATCTATCTAAGAGTTATCATCCCGATCTGGTTGAACAGAGGATACTGGCCAACGCGGCACGTTCACATCATGCAGTGTTCGCGTTTTCCCCTGTTCCGGCGAGAATGAACAGGCAAGGCGGCACAGCCAAATGGGGGATGGGGGGAAAATAATAAAATGAGTCATAAGATGAAGTGGAGCGGCGAAGACGCAGCAAAGTGATGAAATGTGAAGCGAAAAATAGCATGAAAAATAACGCGAAAAATAATCCGCAAAATAAGCCGCAAAGAAAACTGCAGAGTAAACCGCAAAATAAAGCGAAAATTAAAACGCAAAAAAATCAGAAACGTAATAGTAGTCACCTTCGCCCGCACGTCATTCACGAGAACGAGAAGTATTGGCAACGTTCTCAAAAAAAAAAAAGAAAAAAGAGAACTCCTCTGCCTGGTGACACAAATGTACAGCGCGAACGGGTAAGTAGTTTTTTAACGGCGCCGACTGACCTAATCGGATTTGCAATCCAGTCAAGTCCCCTCGGCCCGACACGGCACGGAGAGGCCAGCCGCGCAAATGAGGAGACAAGCAAAAGGACAAAACGGCAAAAGGCCGAATAGCCAAATTGCCAAATGACCAACTGACCGAGTGCACAAATCAAATTCGCCGAGTTACGTGTGTGTCGGCACTTATAAGCAGAGCACATACCACGTAGATACACACACGTGTAAGGAAAGCACATACCGCGTAGATTCACAGACGTATAGCAGCACATATGAGCAGCCAGGTGGCCCGCAACACCCACGTTCGCAGCCCTCCACTAAATGAACGTGAATTGGATTACAAAGCTCGAAAATCTGCTCGACAAAAAAAGCAGCCGCGAAAGGAGCGACCACACGAAAGTGATTAAGACAGAAAGGAAGCTGCATAACCATAGTAGCCACCAGGAGTATAGTCCCCCGTTTAGGAAGCAACATGTGAAAGGAGACCATTTGGGGGGAACCCCGGAGTGCGACTACCAACAGTTGCACGCGTACCGGATAGAGGAAGCCATCATAGAAAACTATAAAAAGGAACAGATAAAGGAGTTATATCCCTGGCAGGTAGAATGTCTAAGTGAGCTGAAAAGGGTTAGGTGGGAGGAACGGGAAAGCTTCCTTTTCGTGGCTCCAACCTCAGGTGGTAAAACGCTCGTGGCTGAAATTTTCGCTTTTGAGCAAATGGACAAGACGGAAAAGACCTTTTTTCTATTTCCCCTAAATTCGCTAATAAATGAAAAGATGAGTTATTTGAAGAAGCTGTGCAGGGGGACGAACATCAAGGTGGGTAGTGAGTTGGCAGAAAATGACATCGTGTTGTGTACCTACGAAAAAATGAACAATTATTTGAATAGGAATAAGTTGGAGAGTCAAGAGGTGGGCATGGGGGTCAGTATGGGCGTGGGAATGGACAGTTGGTCAGCCGGACGTAGTGCCAACCCAGGGGGACACTCCTACCACAACTTCATCGTCGTGATTGACGAGTTCCACCTGATCAGCGAAAAGGGAAGAGGAATATATATCGAGAATATCATCTCGAAAATTATGTTCCTCAACAGAAGGGAAGCAAAGATAAAGGTCATCTGCATGAGTGGCACTCTCAATAATTTACCCATCTTGAGAAAATGGATGAATGCCAGAATATATGTTTCCCCTTACAGACGTCCCCAAGAGATAAAGGAGCATTACATTTGCAACTATGGTGTGTATCGAAAGGAGAAGGATGGTTGTCCCTTTTCGTACCTCTGCAATGTGTACGATTTTTATCAAACATGGGAGGACAAGTCTGCTGAACAAGGGGCGACACGGTGCCTTCCTAATGTTTCAAATGTTAGCAGCTTTAAGAGGTGCCATCTGAGTGAAGGAATGAAAACGTTCCATCAGAATACAAAAAATAACATTGCTCATTTTCTGAAGATGAGGAATCCCTCAGTGAACAGCAGCCTGGTCCATTCGCTCCTCTGCTTCTCACTACACAGTCGAGTGAACAATCTAAGCACCCTGATCTTTTGCTCGACGAAAAAAAATTGCGAAGTTTATGTCAGCTTGATTAATCAGTACTTCAGTGCCTTCCCTGTGGAGCAAACCCCGAAGGAGGTGAAACTCAGGAGGGATAAACTGAATGAAAGCATACTTCAGATCGATGCATACGCACACAGTACCATGAGCAAGCTAGTGGTAAACGGGATCTGCTACTACTATAGTGATATCACCAACCCGGTTAAGCGATTGATCGAGGTGGCCTACAAGGAGAAGACACTCTTCCTGCTCACCTGCACATCAACACTCTCCGTTGGGCTGAATTTGCTCGTAGATCGAGTGTTAATAGCATCCCCCTTCATCGCCCAGAACTTTCTAAGCGTCACACAGTATAGGCAGATGATTGGCAGGGCGGCGAGGCAGAAGAACGGGGACTCCTTTCTGCTCCTGGAGAAGAAGCATGAAAAGAAGATGCTCCAAATATTTCAGGAGAACTGCACGAACATTACGAGCACCATGAACGACGGGGGTTCACTCGAAGAGATGGAGAAATACATAATTGAGTTCCTGTGTCTGTTGGACGCGCGGCCCGTGTCTTTGCGAGACGTGGTTGCGATGCTGTCTTTCTCGCTCTGCTTCGCGGAGGTGGCGCTGTCTAGAGAAGCTCTGTCAAGGAAAGATCTGTCTGGGGAAACTCTATCAAGGGAGCCTTCCCCCCGAAAGTGCCCTGATCAATCCCCTCAGCGGCTGCCCCTCGAAGTGGACGAAGAGAATTTCACCCCCAGTGAACGCGTCTTCTACGAGGCAAAAAAGGAGCAAATACACGCCGTCCTAAATGTGCTAATCCAGCATAAGTGTGTTCAGATGCAGAGTAATCGAAGAACATTCCGCCTCACGAACTTATGCAGATCCTTATGTGTCAGTAACTTCACTGTATCCTTCGGATCTCAGTTATTATCCGAAGTAAAAAGTTATGATAGATTATACCTCTTCAACCACAGCTTTCACCTGTGCTATATTTGCTCAGCACATAATCTGAATATCGCCTCCTTTTCGTATTACCTCCCTTTTCTGAAAAACTTAATCTCCAAGATCTGCTCGGACAACTACACAAAGCACATCATTTTTCACGTCTTACAATTTGATAGTGACATTATTAACATGCTAGCGTTGAAGAACCAGAATAATTACTTTTGGAACAGAAAGAAGAAAAATTTCTTTTCAGATGATCACATGGAGAGGAAACACAACAAGTTGTATCTGTCTATTTTCCTCTTTCTGTACTTGAAGGGGACGACGTGTTCCGTTTTGTGCTCTCTTTTTAAGATAACGGAGGATGTGTTACAGTCCGTTTTGGAACACACGTATATGCACGTTCACATTTTGATTTCATTCTTTGAGCAACTGGGCGAGTGGATCCTCTCCAGTTTGCTGAAGAAGTTCCTCCAAAATTTTAAGACGTGTAGAGCCTCCTCGGAGGACGAAAGACGTGCGAAGGGGGCCATGGGGCGAAGAACCATCAACGCGGGTGGATTCAGACGGGGCAAGCGCAAGAATGACGCGGGGGAGGGGTTCAAGATGAGTCGTCCAATTGAGTGGTTCAGTTGAGTGTTTTAGTTGAGTTGCCCATTTTAGTGGTCCTCCTGGGAATGAGTGCTACCCTTAGGGCCGTCCTCTCTGCACCACCATCCGCTCGACATCCCAAGATGGCTCAAATTGTGGATGACCTCTTCGGGGCATTTTTTAATTTTTTTTTTTTTTTTTTTTTTTGACCCAGCCTCGCTCTGTGGCCCAGGCTGGTGTGCAGTCAGGATCTGTTTGTCACTTTTCAAATTTTTTTTTTTTTTGTATTTTTCTGACGGGTGTACTCCCCTATTTGGTGAGCATATTCGACCCCGACCTGACCGATGTGCCTGTGTGCATTGTCTACCGTTACTGATGCTATTGCTACTACTATTTTTCTCCCTTTTTGTGTGACCCGCCACTTCCAACTTGTCCTGAACTTAATTTTTAAAATTCGCCTCGGTGAAAAATATAAACTAAGCTCCTTTTTCGTTCTCCGTCAGAGATCTCCATTGGCCATCCCCTTCTGCCCGTTAAAAGGGGGCTAACAGGGCCACCTGGACTTCTTTGTAGCACCTCATTCCCACCTTTTTTTTTTTTTTTTCGCCTCGCGGAGGGAAAATGCCCCGTCTGAAGGAAGCCCTTTTTGAACATCACCATGTGGGGAGATAAAGCAAAACCATACCGTGACGATATATCTTCTTTTTCTTTCTTTTTTTTTTTTTTTTTTTATTCATTTTTCCGCCAATCCCAACAGCCACGTACGTGTCTACCACTTGCACACAATCTCCTACACATGAAAAGGAAAAATGTTCCAGGAAGAGGATTCCCAGATGTTAAATTTTGGAGGCCTGGAGAACAACGGAAGGAAACACCTGGATGAAGAGTTACAAAATGAAATCCACAGGAGGCTAGTAAACTTCCCCACGTCGCTGAATGCAAACTTGACGCGCTCAGTGTTCGATTTCCAGAAGATAGAGCCCTCGTACTTTTTAACCAACGACTTGAGCAGGCGGCCCGCGGGGGAAGCAGGTAAAGACGTGAGCATCGGTGAGGTGGACGCGCTGCAATGATGGAGTATCGCCGCGTAACGAGGTGAAAGCTCTGGTATGATTGACTGGCCTCTTCCAATGCTTTTCTCCCCCCCTTTGCAGGCACGCGCGAAGAAATCACCTTCCAGAAGGAAGTGAACGAAGAAAGAGAACACAAGAAAAAAATCACCCTTTTCGACTTGTCGGAGGAACAGAAGGAAAAAGTCAACCACTTCAAAATAAAAAAGGTTCTACAAAATGAAGTTTATTTGAAGAAAAATAAAATTTTAAAATACCTGATTCACATTTTTGTGTGCGACCTGCTCAGGGAGAAGCCGGACGACATCTATGAATTCGCCGCCTGTTACTTCACGAACCCGCAGTTGCGGCAGAGCGTTGCACAACGTCTGCGCGGTATGCTTGGCCGGGCGTGACGTGTTCGCGTTCAGACATTCGTGTATTGAAGTCTGAGGAGTGCCCCTTCACAGTGCGGCTTAAGTGCCGCTCTCCCGGTAAACTCACTTATGACCGCCCCCAAGAGGCACCCACAAAAAGAGACGAACATCAAAGAGGTTAACCCTTCGGAAGGAGAAGCCTTTCCACCTCACCGCTTAACCGGCTAACGGCCTCGCCGTGTAGGCACTTGGTTGCCCTCCCACTATCTTTGTTCTTTCTGATCGGTCAACCCAATTTTCTCAAAATGAACTCCCTTTACCCTTAATTTGTGATTCTCTTGCGGGATGAGCAAAGAAAAAATAAATTGCTCAATCGAGGAGGACCTAACAAGTCTCTGTTGTGGAGTGGAGACAACAACAAGAAAATAAAATAAAAAAAATAAAATAAAAAAGAAAAAAATTCCATTTTGTGTTCTTTTCCCCCCCCCAATGACATCGTCGCATCAAATTGTACATGTAAGGCGCGAATATTTGGGGAATGCACAATCAGCGGGAAAGAAGCTTAAGAAAGAAAAGTGAAGAAAAGACACAACGTGGAAAACTCTACCCAATGGTACACTACACCTCAGAGAATGCTGCACCGCTCAGGGGAAACCCCTCATTCGTCACGATATCTCGCCTGGGTCTCTTCATCACTTTTCTTTCTTCGTCAGCGTATGTTACACGATATCGGCTTTTAACCAGAAGCTTTACAGTGCATTCCTCCCCCTGGAAGTACTCACTCAGGGAAGTACTCCTGGAGATACTCACTCAGGGAAGTACTCTCTCCGGGATATGCGCAACTGATGGTGCAGCTACCTCTTCGGCATTGCTCCTGTTAAAACCCTCTTGCGGTTTCTCCCCTTGCGCAGTGGAATCACTAAACGGCCACCCCACCTGAAAATATCCTCCTCCGCGGCGCAATTTAAAATACATTCCAAGTGTCGATTATCTTTTCATTCTCGTCACTGTAGTGTATGCCTCCTTCGTCGTAGCAATTCAGGTGTTCCTCTGTTTTGCATTTCGCAGCGTTTTCGCCTGCGTCAGGTGTGTCTGGTGCGTCTGCTGCTTGGTCTGCTCCTCCTGCTTCTTCTTCTGCTCACTGCTGCCCACCATGGCAGTACCGTTGTCGTGGCGTTTAATAAAATTTTTATCGCGCAAGGCGTTGTACTGATTGGTGGTCACTGTATGGAGAGTAATCACCAGGGGTATGTCCTGCACATGAGTTTTCCTTTTCGGATGCTTCACCAAGTTTTTCCACCTTCCGTGCATCTCCATTCTTCCTCTCTGGCGAAACCAAACATGTCTGTTGTCATCCCAGGTTCGCTCCTTATGGGCATTTCTACAAGGATTACACCGCGCATTATCCATTTTGAGGCTTAAAGAAGTTATCGTAACTCGGATGAAGCTGCTTGGGCTCTGATTCTAGGGGGTGGATCTCGGATGACGTGTCTTGGTATATCTGAGCCCCCCTCCCAAAGTGAAAAAACACCTCCGTGCTGTTCATCCTACTTTCGAACGGAGACAAATCGTTCGCGTGGCTTCCACTCTTAGTTGTGCTACTTCCCAGGAAGAGGTGCGTGGGGCTCAGTTTATTGCTGTGAGACGTACAGAGGGGGGAAGGAAATTCCCTCACGAAGAAGTCATCAATCTGTCCAGTAACACTATAATCCATATTTCCACTGACGGAGAGGAACTTGCTTTGGCTGAAAGTTTCATCGATTGGGAAGACTCCGAGGTGGTTTTCTTTTTCCTCTTCCTCCTTCCCTTGGTGCGGTTTGTTCATCTGCGGATTTCCGTTTCGCAAGGGGGTAACTCGTCCCTCTCCATCTGGTCCACTCGGTTCACTTCTTTTACTTCTTCCACTTCTTCCACTTCTTCCACTTATTTCAGCGCTTCCGATCTCACTACGGTTAGCATCACTTCCCATTGTGCCCATCTGCGCAAGAGACACCCGCTCTGCGCTCACTTCTCTCATCGGAAGTACCCTTGGGTTAACCTCATTCGGTGCATACAAATCCTGGGCCACTCCTCCCTCACTTGTCCACTTCTCCATGCAGTTGAGCTCAAATTTTATATGCCCTTCCTCCATATCGGCATACACCATTCCGTTGGTGACGACAGGAGTCGGACCGTTTATTTGGCTCCCTTCACCTTTTGCTTCTCCCCTTGGCGAGACAGCTTTGCCAAATGTTCTTTCTGCACACGTGGGGAAGTAGTAACTTCCATCAGGGCCGCTTCTATGAAGGCTTCTTAGCAGCTCATCCTTCGCGCTGCGTCTCAAGTTGTCCATAATTTCGGAACGGCCAACCTCGTCACGGTTGACCTGGTCACCGCGAACTTCTCCCGCAAATCTGTGCATTTCTCCTCTTCCTTGGGTAAGCCCCCCCACGGGGTTATCCTGAGGTTCGTCCCTCTGCTGCCCATCTTCCAGCGGTAGTCGCCCCCAATTTAAGCATCCCCCACGATGCACCTGTTTAAGGTCTCCTTGTTCATACGAGACGGTGGAAAAGGGTCCCTCCTCATTTAAACGTCTCACGCTTTGTGTCCCTCTCTGTGTCACCCTTCGTGTTTCTCTTGGTGTCCGTCTCTGTGTTCCTTCTTGTGTCCGTCCCTCTGTCACGCTCCGTCCCTCTATGAGGTGCCGGTTTGCACTTTGGCATTGGTGCTCCAACCTTTGCACATTCCACGTCAGCCTCAAGTCTGGGAAGCTACTAAAATTTTGATTGATCCCATTTTTACGAAGCACATTGGTGCTATTTATTTGGCTGTAATTGTACATTATATTTCCAGTGTTTATTAGAACCAGATCGTTTCCATTGGATATGATTATGTTCCTTACTATGTTTCCACTCCTGTTCACTTCGTTGCTGGGTCTTCCACTCGTGGTACCTCCAGTAGTTGTCTTCTCAGTGAAGGTGGTCATGCAGTTCGTCTGAATAGCGTTCTCCCTTCCATAGCATCCGTCCTGGACATCACATAGGCCGCTGTAACAGCCCGACTCCCTTTTCATTGCTGCATCGTCGCCCTTCTTCACCCACATGCTCTTCAGCCTAAAGTGGTACTCCTTCATTAGGTACTCCTCCACGTTATCGCCGCTCACCACATTCTCCCCGCTTGCATGTTTTTCTCTGGTGCTCACAAGGCTGCAGTTGCAGCTTCTGCTGTTCAGGTGCGCACGGGGATGCACATCCGAGTTTAGTCTCGTGAACCTGTCGGAAAAACTGCCAACACGGCCAACAATGCCATTCCTCCCATCCACCTTGGCCACCCCCGCCTCATCACTAAAGTCGTTTCGAACTCTTTCCTGCTTTTTCACGTATAGGGAGACATAATTCATGCTGTCGTAGGGGGGTTGTTTGTCCGGGAGTCTTCCACAGGGTGGTGCCCCCACCGCAGTGCTCTTCAAAACGGATGTGTCTCCGTCGGCACGCCTGAGGCAGTCATTGCGAAGGTGGCTGCTTCCGTAGCCGAAGTTCTCCATTCTGGGTGTAAACTCTCCCGGCGCATCGAAGCCCGTATCCCCCAGCAGCACACGATTATCGCACAGAGTTCCCCCCGCTGCACCACCGCTAACATGCACACTGCTCCTCCGAAGAGTGTTAACGTCCAACAAGCGATTTTCAACCTCTTCTCCAAATCTAACCCTCGGAAGGTACTCCAAAAAGAGATCCTCATCGTAAGACTCTCTTTTATGTGCATCTAGGACCTTGTTCATCAGTAAGTTTTGCTTCGTAATGTTGTTTCTCATTTGGTGAAAATTGTCGTTGGAGTCGTCTCCCCTTTGGTAATCATCCGGTTGTTCCACCCTGAACCCGTTCCGCAGCAAGCCAAGCCCCTTCTCCATCACATCGAACCCATAATTGTATGTACCAGATGTAATGCTCTTGCTATCCCCCCCATACATGTTACAAAATTTCCTAATCATATAATTCACGCTGTGTCTTTCATTTGAGACAGGATGTTCATGTAGAGTCGTTTCCCGATAGAACTTCCCCCCTTTGTTTATCATACGCTGGTAATTGCTCATCTTTTTGTATGACCACATAGTGGCACTCCTCTCGTTGTTTTCGTTTCGCCCCTGATTTGGAATCATAGCAGATGAGCTGCAATGAGTAATGCACTTCCCGCTGTTGTCTCTACTGCGGGGGGTTGTTCCCATGTCGAATCGTTCATTCTGATGGGGATGGTTATGCTGATGATGACCGTGACTGTTCTGTCTCTCCGTGTCTGCTCCACATATTGAGTAGTCCGGGGGGACTCCACTTCTCCGATGGATGTTATGCGCCCTAAACCTTGAACCCATGCGAGTACCGCTTCGTAGAGGGACTCTCTGCACAGCTCCTGTATTTTCTCCAAAGCCACCGTCCTTAAGAAGTCTCCCATCAGTCAGCGCAATGCATTGTTCTCCCTTCACATTCACACACTTGGTCACGTAGAGATCATCTTTAAAACAACTTTTTCTTTTCAAAAGATGTAGAGGTAAATTCTTTGGTTGCAATTCACTTTCTCCATGTGCATGCCGACAGTTAATTCCACTGGAACAGATTCCATATCTTTTCCAGTTCTTGCAGATAGTTGTCTTGTATACTCCATGAGTATATTTCAGCTCCTGCTCACCATGGGCGAAGTTACACTCTACATTTGCGCACATTCCTTTTATCCAGTACTTACATAGGGACGTTTTCTTTAATTCATCTTTGGAGTTGTTAGAGAGATGGTGGATATTTTCTGTAGAGTCCATCGTTTTGTCTGTTACTCTGATGATCCTCTGGAGAAAATGATTCTTACTTCTATACTCGCAGGGATGTTGACTTTGAGTGAACTCGTTGGGGGGCTTCGTACGGTTTTTCATGTAGGGGATCTCTTGGTGAGAGTTCCCATACTCATCTGGAGCGCCCTGCGGAGCCCCCTCGGCATCGCCATCCCAGTTGTCACTCAGCACGTCCTTCAGCACATCATTGGGAATTTCTTCCAGCGACTCGTTCGCATTCAAAGCGGAGTCTCCAATGGAATCATTCACCGAGTCGCAACTCACGTAGGCACTCCCCCAGCCACTCACGCTTCCTCTCTCGTGGGAGTCCGAATCTCCATCCGCGTTGATCACATTATCTGCATCATGGTAAGCACCTCCAATGGAGCCATGCTCACTCTTAGCACCTTTCCTTGGTTCGTCTTCATCATCCGGGTTCCTCCTTCCCCTGGTGGTCGAATCGGTTCCTTCTCCTTCCATTTGCCTCATCTGGGTTGGGCCTTTATCGCGTGGCCTACACCCTGCAGTGACGTTCGGAAAGGCAGTCCAATCAAAAGCCCCCTTTTAGGCGAAAAAATAGGATTAAACGGGGAGCGATTCGACTAGCTAAATATGCAGCGGTGTGACTAGCTAAACGCGTATTCACAGAGTTACATTCCCACCAGACGTGCACACTACATCTTCTAGTGGATTAAGAATGGGGGAGCTTTAATATACAGCTTTCTACAGGGACATTCTTAGACGGAGAAATACAACCCGTGGGGCTGGTAAGAATTTGTGTAAAAAGGGGCACTAGGGGCAATACTTATTTGAGTAGTCGCTAGCGGGAACAGCAGTGCGGAAATATCACAGAAATGATCAGAAGAATGCATAATGGACTGTTCCCCTTCCCCTTGTATACACGTGTCGTTTGCGGAGTTTGCCCCCTCGTGAGCAAAGAAAAAAAAAAAAATAAAAAAAAATGACAAGTTAGATGGTAGTGGCTGGCACTCGGCCTACGTAATAAAAGAAAAAAAATTAAACAACTCGAGGAGCCTCATTTTTCGTGCAGAAAATACACGTGCGGAAGATCAGATGGGGGAGAAAAAATAAATAAAAATAAGAAAATAAATAAAAGAGAAAAAATAAACAAATAAGAAAAAAAAAAGAAATAAAAGAAAACATAATAGAAAATGACACAACTGTTTTTTTCTATGTTGTATGCGGATGATCGACGGTGACGAGGCGATTGCTCAGATAGCCGTTTACTCAAGTGCGAGGCCACCTCCATACGTGCATAAAGAACAGCATTTGCACAATCGCCGCGCATCCATGCGTGGAGCAAATCAGCGACGCGGTGTGTACAGCAGCAGAGCGACAGGGACGTACGCTGCTCCCTTTGGTATGCGTGGGTATGATAGCTGCCCTTCCATTGGTTATGATGCAGAAAATGCCTACAACGCTAAAAACAGAACGTGCCACGTGCAACTTACACGTTTGGAAGAAGAAAAAAAAAAAAACACGCTCGGCGCAGGTTACCTACAAAACAGCATGCACAACAACGTGCAAATGCGACGGGTATGTAGAGGCGCGCCTTAGCGGTTGGGCTACTTCCAATCCACTTCCAATTGTGCCCATGGTGAAAGCAACTGACATGGAGAAGGGTCGTTTATAAACGAAGGTGCATATGTGCTTACACGTTACACTTTGAATTGATGTACCAATTTTGTCATCAAGGAGGAAAAAGAAAAAGGAGGGAAATACCTAGGCTCTGGCTATCACTCCCATATTTGGCGTTTCCCCAAACGGCTAACAACAGAAAAGAAATGTTGACTGATTTGGGGCTATCTTTTTTTTTTTTTTCTTCTTTTTGTGGAGGAAGTTTCGTACAAAATGGAAATAAATCACTAGGAAGGAAAAGTTAAAAAAAATAGGAAAATACAAGATTGGCGTTTTCCTTTAATGTATTTTTTGGAATATTTTCTTGCTCAGGCTGGCTGTCCTTTCCGCTGATATGCCGATGGGTTGGCTCTCTTCCCTAACACAGCGTGATTTAAAAAAAATGAACATGATTTAAAAAAGAGAACGTGACTTAAAAATGTTTTTTTATTTTGGCGCCCTTCGCTCCAATTTGCTCCATCTTGTTCCTATTCGATTTGTTTTTGTTCTGTTCGACTCTGTTTTCCCTTACGAGAGCAAAGCTCACAGAAAGGGAACACCCCGTTGGTGGCCACTTTCTTGATCCGTCACAACATACACCTGTGCCACTGATGCCACGCAGACCACTAGACTTGAGCTACGCCGGGGCCTCTACACGTGCACGCGGCCACATGAGCAACAAACAAATGAATGAATCCATAAGAACGTCCAAGAGTGTACAAATATAGGTACACTTTTGCTCGTTAGTGTAGGGAGGGGGAGGGAGGCGACAATGCCGGCCAGCTTACCTTTTTCCACTACGCATAGTCTATCCATACGACCCATTTTTACCGCCCTGTCTGGGTGGATGTGCAGCTCTACATAAGTATTGGCAATCCCGCCATTGCAGATACCAGTGCATATGAAGAAAAATTTCAAGCACCTTCCTTTGTACTTGTTAATGGTGAATAATTGATAGCCCCCGGAAAGAGGAACTTGTGGTTGGAAGTCAAATTTACACCGTGTTTTTTTTTTTTTATTTTTATTTTTTCTTTCTCTTCCGGGGATTACCCCGATTCACCCAAAGCTTCTGTCGAAAATGGTGCAGACGTAACCGAGTTCATCCAAATGAAGTGCCTTCTAACAAAGTCCATTTCGAAGCCAACATGTTGGCAGAATTGCACCTGCCTTGAGTAGTGGATTCCATTCTTCCTTGCTTCATGCACGCACGAAAGGATGCATGAGCGAATGTGTACATATGTTATTGCACCCATGCATGTTTTTACAGAATGGGTATAGGATATGTGCACAGGGGATGCGAATAAAAAAAAAAAAAAAAGATACCAACACGTGGAGACGGTTTATTCCATTTATATCGTCCTTCTCTTCGGTGCAGTCTCAGATAACGTCCACATGCGCCCTTCCTCTTGATGGTACTGCTGCCCCGACTTCTCCGGGCCGCTCTGTCCGTGAGGGGGGCTCCACATGGCTTTGAAATTCACGTTGGGATATTGCACACAACAAGTCCGCTTTGTACACGCGCAGGGAAAAGTGGTGCAAAAGGTGGAACAACGCTGAGGCAAATACTGAGATAGCTGTCGCATACAGCAGAAAGAGTGCAACGGAAAAATGACAAAAAAAAAAAAGCAAAGTGGATCAAAAACAAAATGGATCAAAACAAAGTGGAGCAAGAACAAAGCGGAGCGAAAGGAAAGCACTGACATAACGCCAGTTATACTGTAAATTTCGAAAGTACACCCCGAAAGGAAGCGGAAAAAGGTGAAGTTGGTCACTACACTGAGTACTCATTTTGAATGTATGATCACGTGGTCTCATTCTTAACAGGGAGAGCCACAAGAGTGACTCCTTTAAGTGGGAACTATAAATGTGGGGGCGTAAAGTGTGTCTGACACCATCGAGGCACGAACAGAAAAAATGCCATTATGAGTAGGAGAAACTGCAAGTGGGCATCAAGAAAAGATATCTTTTTATGTCTGTATGGAAACTTGGCCATTTTTCCCTCTTTCCTATTTCTCTTCCCCCCTTGACGTAATCGCCGACGTTACAGTTGCTTCACTCTGCGAGAAAGGTTAACACATATGCGTATGCATGCCTTTGCTCCCCAGACGTGTGTGCCTTCCGCGAAACCAAACAGAAAGGCACCACATGCACCCCCATTACACTCAGGTACCTCCTCCTCCCTTTTATGACGTTATGGCCAAACGGGAGACGAAACGACCAACAGTGTACGTAAGCAGGGGCAGGCCCAATAAAACGACATTCATATGTAAAAAAGAGTCATTATGTGGTCCACTTGCACATGTTAATATGAAAAGAAAATTACGTTGATAGAATAGAGTGGTTGCTTCGGCTTCCTGAAGTTCTCCCCACCCAAACAGACACACATAACCACCTACTGTATGTACGTTTAAAGGAACATCCTTGTAGCAAAATGGTTTAAAAGGCAGTGTGCCCCAACTGGGGAGCGTTTCATATCATTTTCGGCGTAGAATCCAACGTGCGCATAACTAAGACACGTACGTAAGTGTGCTTAGAGAACATTTTGGAGAAGAGAAAACTGGGAAAGGTTAACATGAGGAGCGACTACTACAATGTGAGTGCACGGAGGGATGGTCCTCTCTCCATCGCGTGCACGCTAGGCACCCAGAAGGAAAAAGACGGTCACACGAAATTCTGCCCGCACGAATATGTGCTTCGAAGCAACTTAAAAGTTGTACGCAACTTGATTGGGTTTGCAAATGTATGTGTGATCGATTTTTTCCCCTTTATGTTGATTGAAGGGTTGCACGTCATAGGACGATTTGAGCGAGAAGGGGAGAGAAATAATATTGCCCCTTTGGGTCACTGAAAAATTGACTAGCTACATTTTTCATCGTTTTATCAAAATTGGTGAGTTTTTTTTTTTGGATCTTAATGCGGCAAGCTGCTAGCCAAAACGGGTGAGATTAAAACTTTAACAGCGCTCTACTGTATGACCGTGTAGGTAAAGACGTTACAGAAATGCAGTTTCACCTGAACAGTTCAGAAAAAATCTCTGCTTCGCTTTTCTAATTTGTTTATTTTTCCGTGTGTGTGAAAGATCAACTTTGTTGTCTTTTCTTCCATTTGTGTGGGACACATTTTGTCTCATTTTTATCTCCATCCTTCGAGTGCGAAGGTGTTGAGGTGTGAACACTTTTAAAAAACAACCAGTTGTTTGTTCATCCAGCGTGTACGTTTCACATGCAGGAAGCGGGACACGAATGTTACGTGAAAAGGGAAAGAATGGATAAAATGACAAACGGGAAATTGCTTACATTTTTGAGGATTAGACGAGGGGAAAAAAAAAGGGGATACTCCGCAGGTGGCTACCATTTCGGTGTTTCGTCAAGATGGGAAAAAGTTGGAAGCTCCGTCTGCAGGAGGAAGGGCAACCTTGCCTCTTTTTTTGTTTTATTTTCTTCCCTCTTCCTGATCGGATGTCCAGCAACTCGACCGAGTCCCGCAGAACACACACGGTTTGTCCTGAAGCGACGCGGAGGCAGCAAAAGGAGGGCTAACATGGGGAAGCGACGATTTTTCACCAAAAGGGGGAAAGCAACTTAACGCGGAAAAGGCACAACCTCCACTCGTCCGTCGGATCGAACCGTATGCCTCCTTTCTGTGCACTCAGAAAACTGTCGGAACACGCCCCCACGGCCCCTTTGATGAGCTGGGAGTAGTCACTCTTTGCATTTCGTTCTTGCAGGTTACATGTGCATAAGCTCGCTCAAGTAACCGCATAAACGTGCCAGTTGGAAAGAGAAAAAAAAAAAAAGAAAAGGAAAAACAAACACTAAAGCTGGAGCAAAAGGTGAAAAGAAAGCAGAAAGGAGTGAACTAAGGAGGAAAAAATAAAAAATTGCTTTTTTTTTCCCAAGCTGGGTACATATTTTTTAAAAGAAAAGATTAGCAGAATGGGATGGTCAAATCTTAAAGAAGGAAGGAAATAAATGAGCGAAGAGGATAAAAAAGAAAAAAAATTCTGTATACACAAAATGATGATGCGAATTTTCACTTCTGTTTCCGTTTCCCTTTTTCTTTCTATTTCCACTTCCATTCGCATGTTCCTTTTATTTTTATCTTTATTTTTACATTTATCATTTTGAGGGACATAGCGCCAAGCGGGACTGCGAGGAAAACAAAATGGTGAACAGCTCTTGTCAGAAGGACAACTTCTGTGCTAACAGTGCAGATGGTGGGTCTGGGGAAAAAAATAGAAGCGGTCTGAAAGGGCGCGACATGGGGGGGGAGCACAAACAGGCTTCCCCGGTTAGTTCAACGGAGGAGAAAAAAGGGAGCCTTGCTGTCCAGGTCCTGGACACTGGAAAGGATAATGCTGATAATGGCGAAAGGAATCACCAGGGGAAGTCCACAGGAGTGTCCAAGGAGGGGCCAAGTGGTGTGGCGGATGAAAAAACGGACAAGACGCAGGACGAGAAGGAGAGTGGGAAGCACAGAGGCCATTTAAGCGATGCGCCAATCGGATCGTCAGCCGACATGGCAAGGGACATGCCAACCGACGAAGTCTGCGTGAAGAGAATTATAAACGTAGAAATGACCGAAGAAATAAAAAGCTTCATTGAGACGTTCCAAAAAAGCAGGGATGATATCATAGACTGGTGCAACAAAAACAGGGAACTCTATGCCAGTAAAACAAACAACAAGACGGCCAACTTGTTTTTCCAGAAAACGAAAAACATCCATCTTCTCCTGAATGAGGAAAGCATCAACATTGACACTCTGAATATCCTCCTCTATTTTTACAACTTGTATTGTACCCACAACAACATGGAGAAAATCAGCGCGCATAGTGTTATGTGCAGTTCCTACATAACCTGTAATGCTTCGACGCGCGCTGGGTGCCATTCAACGGTAGCGGCATTTGACGCTGCTGCTCCTTTGAGGTCCATCCTGACTGCGTTTTCACGTAACATTTCTCCCCCCTAATTGCCCCCCTCCAGATAGAGGTATATATGAAAACATAAACGAGAACAGCAACTCCTTCAAGAATCTGCTGAAGGAGGAGAAGGCGTACAATAAGTTGATAGGAAAGACCAACAACATAAATGACTTTTTCTCGAATTACAAGAAGACATACCCGTAAGGGATGAGTTGACGTGTTCCCAAACGAGTTCGTTTTCCCCTCGTCCGATTTGTCCACATGTGCATGCACATGCCCCCCTTCTCCCCGTTTTTTCGCAGGTACGGCATAAATTTAATCCTTGGCATATTCCTCACCTTCCTGAGTGGGTACTACGGGAGCCTCTTGTTGGGGTTCACCAAGTTTACGACGGTAAGGTGTGCACTCAGCCGTGAGCGCGTTGTTGTTCGTGCGCCTGGCTATGCATGCATGGTTGTGGATAAGTCTGTCTATGAATGGATGACTGTTTATGCGCCCGGTTGGGCCACCTCCACCATACCCCTTTTACGCTACCCCTCTTACAGAGATTGATATGCGGAATTGTCTTCTCCTACCTCACCCTCATCCTGGAAGTTATCATTTTTATAATTATTAACGAGAAGGTGGAAAATCTCAAGAGGAGTCAGAAGAGCGCGGGCAGCAACTACGCTTTGTACCAGAAGGTGTATATTAAGAAGGAGTCTGGTGGCAAGGGCGAGGTGGACGCACTGGGGGAAGCCGAGTTGGCTGTCCAGGGAGAGGTTCAAGAAATGAAAAGAGTGGTCGATAAGCACCCCACGCTGAAGCAGCGCCGGAAGGTTTAGAGGGGGCGCTTGCTCAAGTGGAAACTGTGATGGGTCCAATTGTAGCCCTTTCGAAATTCTGCTATCCAAGGAGGGATTCAACCTCTGGCGTTGTCATCAGGCATTCACCCCTGCATGTACGCATGAGCGGATACGTGTATATGTGTTCCGCTTGACTAACCATTTTTTCGTTGCTTTTTCACTGCATTCTGCTTCCCCTTTTGTTTTCCCATTTTGACGCGCCTTTTTTTTTTTGTTCATTCCAAATGGAAATATTTTTTAAGTTAACTATGTACCGATTTAAATTTTGGGAATGCGATTTTTTTTTTTTTCTGTTGCTATTTTAATGTCCAATTTAACGTGTCAAAAGAGGTCATTACACGAAGGAAGTTCGAAGCACTGGTGAGTGACACGGTGATGATGGCCACTGCTGTAGCGGCACAGGTGGAGAAGCCGACGAGGAACTCGCTGAGGAGCGTTCTGCGAGGGGATCCGATGCTCCGCACGCTCAGTGTGGAAAATTTAAGCGCGGCATACGTGGTGAAGGGATAATCGGTAAAGGTGAAACGATCTTCGGAGGAGTGGCTCTGTTCGTTCAACTGAGTACTTTTAATTCATTGAGCTACACCATATTGCATTTTTTTGTATTTTTTTTTATGGGGGTAAAAGCGTGGCCGGTTGAACAAGTTCCCAGAAAAGCATACGTGCCACTTTTCCACTACTCCGTTTTGATCTCCATCCCTGGACTAAATCCCCCGAAATATGCGCGCAGGCAGAGGACCCCGCGTCCTGAGTGTCAGCAGACGAAGGGAACCCACCCCGCTCTCACTACAGACACAGAGACCCCTACCAACAGCACAGCCACCAACATGCACAATGACATTAAAAACGATATTATTAGAAGCCTACCCTTTACGTTCAGCAAGGTAGAGTTGGATACCTGCGATGGAAGGAGGCAGAAAGGGGAATCGAGACAGAACAAGAATAATGATGCTCCCGCACACGGTTTGGACGGTAATGAGGATGGCCACACCGATGAGAGCAGCTACACACATGAAAGTAGTGGCACAGATGAGAGCATCAACACAGATGGGAATAGTCCCCCTGAGGGGACCGACGAGCCCAACTGCTACGAATGTGCAGGGGGAGGAACAGGGGAAGGCAAGAGAAGGAAAAGGAAACAAGCTTCAAAGAACAGCCCTTTTAACGACCAGGGAAACAAACACCACTCGCATGAAGAGGTATTTATACGAAATAGACAAAAAGAAAACTCCGCGAAAAAATCGGCCCCTAAGCCCCCTAAGCAGCATCAGCTGTGCGCGCACACACGCGGAAGAGAAACGACAGGGAAGATTAAAGAGGGACTCTCGATGAGCGGAATGCAGAAGGACACGCAAGGAGTAGGGGAAAGAGGAAATTGCGACGCATTGCATTATTCCTCGGACGCATTTAAGGAAAGGGCATATGTGACGCTAGAGAGGAGCAAGCTGAAAAATTGGCGCGTGCAAAATTACCTTGACGTGGACAGGTTAAGCTTGTCCGTCTCGACGAGCAGCATGGGGGGTAAGGCCACAGGCGAGGAGGACGATTTGTCGAGCGATGGGGCGAGCCCCGCAAGACGGGCGACCGGACGAGGGAATGATATCTTCGGCGAGTCCCTTTTTTCCTCCTTCAATTTGAACTACGACCCGTTCGGGGGGGGAAGTGATCCCTTGGGGGCCCGTCTTGGGGAACATCTAGGGGAAGGCTTTCCCACCGATGCCGGCTTCAACGCAGGCATGAGGGACGGTCCAAATCGGACTGACACTGACGAGACGGGAGCCGAGCCCCCCCTTGAGATGGACACAATCCACTCGATGGAGGAAGACAAACAACTGCCTCTATTCGATTCACTAAAAAACTTATACACAAATCACAACAAAAAAATTAAGCTCATTAACTATAGTAAGATTTTAAACACAAGTCTGTGCAAGCGGGTGCAGGATGTTGTGGAGGGTCAACAGGACAAGGTGCTTGAGACGAGTAGCGGGGGGAATGGCAGAAAGGGCAACAATAGCAGGAAGGACAGGAATGGCAAGAAACACACACGTAGTAGGGGGGACCCCTCACTAGGCCAAAAGATGACAGAGCACAATGTAAAGGCGATTATTATGAATATAAAGAAAAGGCTTGGCTTTTACTCGGGGGAGGAGCGGCAGGAGACTCACAGGGGGTCACAAATGGAGATGCGGAAGAAGAATCTGCGGCACCAGAAGAGACGTGACAAGCGCTACCACGTGGCCCACGAAAACAAACCCACCTTTTCCGACAGCCTAAATTACTCAAGGGATGAGCCGCTGTCCGATAGCGTGACAAACGAGCTCTGCACTGGGGAAGAGAAACCTGACTCAGTTACACGAGTAGATGCAGCTAATGAAAGTGTGGAGAGACGGATTCACAAGGGAGACAGTCAAAATCTCCTTAATTACCAAAGCTTCGTTTCAGATGATTTTAACTTATCAGACGATAAGGATGGCCCGCTCGGCTCGTTCTCATCTCGTAAGAGCCAAGGGGAAAACCTTCCATCGTCCAGTGAAGGGTGCGCGAGCACACACAATGAAGAAGTGTTCGCGCTGTCTACATCATCGGCGCAGTTTAAGCAAAGCTTTCTGAGAGCCATAGGCCGTGTCTCCACCCAGGTGGACAGAAATGAGGGTACCGATGAGGAGACCCACGCGGAGGAGAAAGCCCATGCGGATGAAAAAATCCAAGCGGATGAAAAAGCCCAAGTGGACGATGACGCCCACTCGGATGATGGGGACCATGCCGACTGCGACAACCCAAGCACAGACCTCTCGCACGGGGACACACCAACAAACAAACAAACAAAAATAAACTGCCAAAAGGTATTAAAAAGAGAAGAATTCCCAATAGGGACAGATCCGGATGGTTTTGGAACCGTCACCTCTTCAGGGGAGAGTCCCCCAAAGGAACGTATTATAAATGGAGAGCGGGACCATTCAAGAAGCATTCAGTACAGTAATGAAGACATTAAAAAAGACGAAATAAAAAAATTAATTTCATGTACACACAAGAATGATGACGACAGGACAACACCTACTGGTGGGTCGCCCATGGATTTTGCAACCGAGAGGCAGCAGGAGTCTACATCGAATGAAGGGAACTCCCAAAGGGATGAGAAAAACGATTCTAACAAGCTTGGTAAAATGGAAGGGATGAACATTTTATCAGAAGAGATGAATGCCTATATGCTGGACGTTTTCGATAAGCAAGTTAAGCATCTCAATGAATTGGTGACGAATGTTTTGTCCTGATTTTTCTTCGTTCGCTTGTGTGCTCTGTCCACCTCTGTGTCATTCGAGTTTCTACTTTTTTGTCGCCTCTTTGTGAACTTTTTTGTTGTTCCTGTGTCCACTTTTGTTTCGTCCCCGTGGCAACTCTCTTGTGAATGTAGCTCTGTCCTGGAACTCCCGGGAGGATCGTCCTTGTCTATTCAGTTACTCCGCGGTGGTGTGTTAAGTCATGGTAAGTTATCGTAAGCTCTGTTATTTAAGCTATGCTATTCTATGCTTCTTTTTTTTTTTCTCCTCTCGATGGCATTGGGAGTGGAGAGAATCACTTTGTTATTTCATTCTTTAATCAAATGAGAAGCCACTTCGTCGCCAATCTGTCAAATTGAACTTCGCTTTGAAGGGGAGGGGGGGTACTTCCCGCATAGGGGTGTTATTTTCCCCAGTGTTGTTAGCTTCACCCGATGTAAACGCAGCCCGGGGTCATCTCCGTGTACATGTCGGCCAGGTGGCTGATGTCACATCTGAGAGGGACAGGGGATGGGGGGAAGGCGGATGAATCTGGGCACAGAAACGTTGGCGAACCAACTAGGGCCATGCACAAACAATAACTGGGGGAGGAAAACCCACTTGGGACGCACAGACACTCCACTTACGTGATCCCTGTGTTCTTCTCGTACTTGAGCCAGTTCTTCAGGACGTGTTCGATTCCATAGCTGCGGAGCCTCTGCCTGCGCGAGGGGAAGGGAAGAAAAGGAAGGAAAGGACGACGATGAAGATGACGAAAATGACGATGATGAGGAAGACAGGGATGCTTCCGAGGCGGATGGTGCTGGCACGCTCGGCTATCCACTCGGCTGTACCCACCTGGTCAGCTCCGGCGAGAACAAATTGCGCAGAAGAATCATAACTTTTTTCTTTATATCCGTGGAGGTGGTGAGCACTGTTGACATATCCAGAATGAGCTGATGCACTGGATCTTTGTTTGTTTCCTTTTCGCGAGTGCCAATCGAGCAGAGCATTAAAAAGTCCTCTTCGCTATCCTTTTCACGTGTGTACACAAGGGAAAGGACACTAGGTATTAAATAGCACTCTTCATCAAGCACATAAGGATGGAGAACTTCACTCATGCAAAGATTTATTACGCATTGAAGCACAGCTGCGCATCGCTCCGGTTGGAGCATCTGCTTGCTCAACATGTTTAAGAGAAACACGCTCTTGAAAAAGTGGGCACACTCTTTTACGGATGATACGTTAATTAAAATGTGTGCAATGAAGAAGTACTTGTCCGTGATGTTCTTGTTAATCGTGGCTGTGACGATTGGCTCGGAGAAAAGGTGCAGCAGCTTGTTAAGGTAGTAACTGACGGCTAACTCTTTGCTGTTTTCCTCCGCCTCCATCTCCTCTTTTAACTTCTCTTCCGGGAGGTCCAGAATTTTATATATTCCTTCCTTTTCCCTGGACAGGTTTGCCACTAGCATGATGTACAGTTCCGTGTGGCTTTTCGCCTCGGTCTCCTCTTCGTCCCTCAGTATGTCGAACACAATTTCGATGAGGTTCCTCTGTATGAGTTCTGCGGGGGGGAAGTGGTGGAGTGATGAGGCGGTAAAGCTGTGGAGTGACGAAGCGGTTAAGCTGGGGCCAACTGCCACCCTTCTACTCAACCGCTCGCGGTGCAGTTACCCTTGGGGATGTGTGCGGACAAGTTCACCAAACATTGGAGAGCAACCACCTCGTAATTGGAATTCAGTCCGGAAATCAAAATCTTCAAACATCTCTTCTCGTTGTTCTGTATGTATGCCACCATTGACTCATTGTCAATCAGACCTAACAGGATTTTATAAGTCTCCCTTTTAACAATATCCTTGTCCTCACAAACGAGAGAAAATAATTCATCATAGAGAGTGTCGTCATCTTTGCTAGTGCCTTTGTCAGTTTCCTTCTTACCGTCGTTGACCTCCTCCTCCATCTTTTTTTTTACTTTGCTTTATAGTGACGTGTTTTTGGTGGGGGAGCTGGAAGAGACCCGCTTAACGCGCCTAGCCACATTTGTTTTCAGTGGCTTTGTTGTCCTCAAAAAAGTGTATGCGCTATGGGCGGTGTGGGAAAGGCAGAAAAATGGAGACCAGAAAAAAAAAAAAATATCACGGCGTATGATGCTTCGAAAAAATCTTCCCACTTGGTCAGGCAGAAATGACTTCGGCGCGGAAAAAAAAAGCGAAAAAAATAGAAAACGAAAAAAGTACAGAAGGGACGCGAAACAACAGGGCAGGGGCCAAACTAAAACGCAAAATGACAGTTATCCATTAACTGATGAACTCATCGATTGCATTGATATCCTATATTTTAAATGGCTACTGCAGAAATTATATTTAGCCAAAGAAAGAATCGGTGATCTGCAGAATCTGCTGTACATGATCGTGGACGGATCCCAGAATAGAGAAACAGATTAGTATAGACATACGATTTGGTGTCTATGGTGGGTGCCTCCAGAATGATGTTCTTCTTTCTTGTAATATCCCTATTTGAAATATATTCTAGGGATTGCCATCTCTACGGCTTCTCAGGTTTATATATATGTATACGTACTGAACAAAGAATTGTAGAGAAGGAAGTTGAGATTATTAAAATAGGAACCCTTTCGTAACGGGATAAGTGGAGCAGCCCATCCTATGTGAAGATTCTACCAATGGGTCTCAGGAGAGGAGAGTTCCTCCCTTATATTGATTACATTACCGTTAACAGTCCAGTACAATACTAGAGGCCCTGGGGGGGAAATTCTTTCCTGTATCTTCTTTTTATTATGCACCGACTATTTTTTTTTAAAATTTCATTAAGGTAAATATCATAGTCAATTCTTTCAAACCTCTGAAAAATTACACCAGTTAATTTAAATGCATTCTTGCCTAATTCAAGGAGCGTCCTCTTGGAGCTTTACTAATATATTTCATTTCCACACCACCATCTACTTATGAGTATACCAACTGTGTATGAATTGTAACCGATTCCTATATATAATATTGTGTTGCTAATTTTTTTTAAATTCTTTAATCATATGAGAAAATCCCTTCCATCCTTTAGATGTCCTAAAAGGTCCAATGACAATGTTCATGTAACAGAAGAGAACACTCAGTTCCTATTCATGTAATAACGATTTCTTAATATTATAAATATTAGGATGAATGTTTCAATTATACATAAAGGCGGAGGGGAATATTTATCTAGTTAAATAGTACACTCATCCACGGGGTTGTTAATAGAGAGATTTGAACCCAGGGTTTCTACTGCATATAAATAGTATTCATATAATATGCTATCATAGTACTATACCTTCATAGTGTATAACCATTCCGATAATTTAAAAGAGGGTACCATCCAATAGAAATGAATGCATAACATTTTCTAACTCTTCTGCTGCACCTTCATACGTAGAAATAATGACAACACTCCTTTATCCTGTTGTGTGCTCTACGGGCAGGACTATTACAATTTAGTGAAAATATCAGTCTGTACTCTGTATTATACGAGAGGGACGATCAATAACAAATCAGCAGCAGTGTGCTATGGAGCAGATCAGGAGGTGGATAAGCACGAGTCATGTGTACTTACAAGAAGGGAACTAATAAAGAAAGTGCGGATACCGATACTCATGATTATTCTGGATACATACAGAGAGCAGTAGGATTGACAAAACATGGCGTCGTACTTGGATAATCACCTAAGAAAGTATTTGAAGGGAGAAAATATAGGAACCCACCAATACGGATCAGGTATGGACAGAATTTCCTTCAACTACCCCCCAAAAGGACAAACTGGTGAATATATACCACAGAGATTTAGAAGCCTCATAAAGAGTGCAAAAAACAGCCAGTTACACAGGGGAGGGGATCACAATGATAATAACGTACTGGAAAAGGACAATCCCCCAGCCGGAATATAACACTCATACATCTTACATTGGCATGGTGCTAATACGAATGCGCCGAATTTTCACGACTCCAGACTAATTTCATAAATACAGAATAGATAAATCATGCGAGGAAACATCACGTTCAAAATGAAGGGGACACCTACTTCCAAGGGCACAAGGACGACGTAAGCGAAATATGTGACATATTCGGAAGATAATGAACTCAACTGCAGAGCGAAATTGCAATGCGACACACATATATGAGGCAAAACACCGAATATAACTGATCATCTGATGAAGATGTGAGGCGCGGAAAGTATTTCATCTCCAATTCCATGCCCCCTTCGTCCCCAAGGTTAGGGCGGATGAAATTTCCGTAGCATACAACAGACAAGAAATGTAAAAATGCGAAATGTAAAATTTGGTATCTGTAATGATTCTTCTACAGAATGCCTCGGAGTACTCCTCTTATTTGTCCTGTTAAATAGCCGTTACCAGTAAGAGCCGAAACACTTACGCAGCAAGTGAAAATAGATTACGCCCCATTCCTTCTATTTAATTATAACCACGGTATATTCGATTCCTTATTTCCTTGGGCGCAGCGTACTATAGAGGACACTGGAAAATTAAAGTTACAGAAAGTGCTGACCCCCAATCAGACGCCCCTCTTGAGCACGACACACTAAAAATCACACTCTGATCAATTACCCTCAAAAAAAAAATCATAAGTTGAGAGTAAAAACAGAGGGAAAGAACAAATATATGGAAGGAGCACAAAATGGACAAAGTCAGGGTTGTGCAATACTTGATAACATATCAGTCTGCTCTAAAGTGGTAATTATAAAACTGCCTATCCTTCATGTACAGACGTAAATAAGACTTATGGCATTTTCTGCACATATATATTGTTCCAATAAGAGAACAATTAATGTATACATTACTGTAGCACTAGAGGGCTTTATTACTTCGATCCAGATAAAAAAGAAAGAACTTCCTGATTACACGTCTGCAAAACTGGATTCATCAAATTTGACACAGAAAAGGAACATTCAGAAATAGGGCGTCCCTGTAGCAAGCCTACCCTTGGCTAAATAGGGATCATAATATAACGTGTCAGGTACAATACTGGCGACCTTGTCCACATGTCTGCTTAATTCTAGCAGAATATATATATTATGATAACACCTGCGTCATATCCAAATGTGTGGAAACACAGGAGAACCGCTCCCTTTTATTCTTTTTATGATACCTTTGGTGTCTGATGGTGTATTCGCATGTGCAGGAAAATTGACATTTTCCCATCCTTGTTATATTCCTTTAAATGGTTATACTGCTTAGTAACAAATTGCTTCCTTTTCTCCTTTGATCTGTAAGTTGTCATATGTTTAATTTGTCCCACCTTATTCTTCGTCCTTATATATTCATCCCACACGAGCACACGATGTACAAGAGGGGTAAACAGAACGTCCTCATTTTTCCTTACAGGAATCTGGTACATTCCCCTACAGAAATATTTCTCAGTCCTTTATACGTATATATATTATTCAATTTGATGTTTTTTTTTATTTCTTCTTTTCTTTCTTGTTCGCCTTTGTTTTTTTCTTTCTTTTTTTTTTTCGTTTTTTTTGTTTCCTTTTTTTTCTGTTTTTGGAACCATTACGAATATTTCCTCATACCTTCCTATAAATGCGCAATTTTTTACTCCTCTAAAAATAGATAAATCCATTTTGATTCATCTGCAGATACATGTATGCCCATATTTACCCGCATGTCTACTTATATTTCTTATAGTTACTTCTTGTTTTTCCGGCGGATTATAGAATAATATGCGGCAATCTCCTCTTGCGAACGCGCAGGCGGCTAACGCATACAACAAAGGTAACCGTCGGAGCTTGAATCCTGAACCAAGAACCGAAAACGCCACACCATCCGGACGAGTCCTTTACTATAAATGACAATATCCCAAGTACATGAGCACTCCTAACACAAATGTAATGCAGAGTGAGGGGCAGTCTCCAAATAATAGTGCCCCACGCATATCAATATTCATCACTGAGCAGTGTCCTTCACATTATGGTACACTAATCCTTCTATTTTGAAGCCTTCACATAAGGGCGTGCACGGACATCCGCATTGTCCATACAATAATTTTTTTGAAAGGATCCATCATTTTTATATACATCACTATGCTTCAAATAAGCGTGTGCACTACATACTAATAGTCAGAGTAGATACATACGCATCACGCAATTACGGTATCCCTACAATAGTGATTCCTGCAGATCAATTCGCATCAATCAATAGTGCTCTTCAAATATGAAAACCGTAAACCTAAACGCGGGCCACAGCAAAGATGTCACTATATCTGCTTAGGTCTGTTACAAAGGAAAATGTAGAAAAAAAAAATATTTCAAGAGAGAAATGTGATAAATCCAATAGTTCAAAATTTAAATAATACATAGCTATACATCAAAATTTTGATAAATATCTTTGAGGATATTCTTCCTTGTTTTTGTTAATTGGTTCTTTCTTTTAGTTCATATATGATGAGAGGGGGTTACACAAGATTTTCAGCGCATGACCCCCAATCATAAATGCTTTTATGTACTATATATTACAAAATAGGAACGTACACATAAAGAGGGGTATAGAACAGAGCTGCTATAAATAAAAGAATAATTTTGCAAACTGTGATGCATACAAAATATGATTCAACTATTCACATAATATTATCTCACTGTTGCAATATTTTAGCAATTGATAATATATTCACGCAGCCGTACCATAATCATAATTAACGCTAGATTGCCTAAGCGATTCCTAAGTTTCACAGCAGACGATGGACACCCTAACATGTCATAAATTAGAACATACCATATGGGTGTATAGATAGTCATCATACTAACCACATCAAGGAACATATTGACCAGTGTATATTTAACATGTGCCTTGGTGAATTACATCATATAATTATTACGTAGAAGCTGCGTAGATAAATACATGAATTTTGTGCGAAAATGTATCACATCGTGTACACGATACAAATGATGCGCCGACGATCAATAATATACACTTAATTCCTAATACGCCATTATGGTAGAAATTACGTCAACTATATTTAACAAAATAGATAATTTCAATGGAAGAAAAAAAAAACTTACATTTATTTAAAAATATAATTCTTAATTTAGTGGCTACTGGATAAGGAAGAAATGCACTACCCCGCAGAATATAATGTATAAGGAACAAATAATTTCTAATGAGAATCACTGTAAAAAAAATTTTTTCCGCAATTTATTCTATTTATATGAAAAAACTATAGGGAATCGATTTCAACCACTATTTTTCCAATGGAAATATGACTGTTTTTCTTCCGACATAACTAGAATTACACTGAGTTTAAATATTCTGTTCACATTATGCACACAAAGCAGCAGATTTCAAAGTACACCCTGCTATTTGTTGCAATTACACACGCAAAGGAATGAAATATATAATTCTTTAAATTGTTATCATAACAATTAATAATATTAAGCTCACGAATGTGCGCCTCGTAATTCACTTTTTTCTTTGCACAAATTGCCATATTCACAGAAAAGAAACAAAAGATTAACTGTGAACAACATAGGTCAAAGTAATTAGTTTATTCTCATCCTTCGTAAAAATTATTTTACGAAGCCTTTTATAAAACCATTACACACAATTACAGTTCACAAAATGTATGTATTCAACGCGCCCTGTGCATTAGAAGTTTCACATTGAGTGTGTTCTTCTGTATATATAACTTTCTTATTACATGAAATATAACCAGAACAAAAGTGGTATCCAAGTATAAATGATTTTATGCGTAACCATAATTAAAAAATGAATTTATACTTAACATAAAAAAGTATTAACGTATAATATACAAAGAATACCATGATTCTCCTACAATGAAGCATAACATTTCTTACGCTTTATCCTGTAATGCGTGAGTTGCACCAATTACGCCAAAGTCACGTAATAAAAAATAGTAATCACTGTTCATTCGTAGCACTCAAAGTTATATTTGTGTCTAGGAGAAAATAAAAAATAATAATAACATAAAGGACAAATTAATTTACAGTATAATGTTAGATAAGAAATATATATGAAGAAAAAGCAAAATATTAATACACAGAAGCAATATACTACAAACACAAGGGAGACATCTATATGGGAGGGCAACAAAACAGAAGAGAATATACTCATAAAAGAGGATGAGGAGCCACACATGAATTCATAACACATTGCAACTAATACACACGGAGTATAATCAACAAGAATTAACACATGCATATAGATATAGACAAATACAAGGCCAACATACAATACAAGAGAAGGGAACGGAAGTATAGAACAGAAGAGTAATGTAAGGATTAGTATGAAACAGGAAAATAAGACGTAACACAGGGATACAACTACATCAAGGTTGAACCAATGGGAGGAATCAAGAAGAAGATACGAAAAGTACCTAAGAAAGACAACCGGAACAAAATTACCTTAAGCATAACACCAAAGAGTGAGAAACCATCCGTAGAGGACAAGGCCTCATTACGAGAGACGAGACGGCAGAAGAATAAAGAAACGCTTGTATACAGAAAAAGTAGGAACCAGTAGATACACATATTAAGAGAATATCGCCACTGCATACTTAAACAGTATGGAAAATAAATTGTCATAAGAGCACTCTGGGAGCATGAGGGGAAAATTTACATAGACAGAAGGAACAAGGGGAGACTGAAGAAGTCCGAAGTGCATATAATAATGGGTAACTTTGAAGAGGAGATAACAATATGTTTGGAAAAGAATATACACTAAGACAAAAAAAACAAACCCATAAGCGTCAGAAGTTAAGCGTCTATCATTATACAAAGAGAAGGAATATGTAACGTGATGAACTGATAAATATAGTGAGGCAGAAAGCAAATTAGGAGAACTCACACCTGCACTTCAAATGATAATACCAGATAGAAGACGAACGACCCTTCCTCATATAACTGTCGGACTGAGTGATAGGTGCATATGTAAGAGGCATCCTGCACAGGAGAAAAGGGAAAAAAAAGATGAATCGAACGCGAGGAGGGGATTCTACGGGAGAGGAATACAGTCGGATTCTGATGAGACGCATAACACCTGACAAAAGCAGGAATGGAGAAAAAAACATAAAGCGGTTATGAAAAAAGGAAAAAATAAAGGAGAACTTCGAGAAGGAGAACGACACAAGAGGAATATAATAGGAGAATAACATAACAATAAAGTTATTAGATACTTCATAAACGCTACAATGAATCTGAACATAACATCAACATATAATAAGTCTCATGCTAAGAGTTTACATAAACAATAAAACAACCAGGGAGAAAAGACGGATCCGGTGCAGGAACACAGTGTAGCACATACAATGATATTAATAGAGATTCATTAAACTCCACAGACACGAGAGGTCTTTACATAGAATTCCGATACCAATAGTTTTACCAGAGGCAATAACAGAACTTATACAGAAAGAAAATCGGAATAGGGAAATAACATATATATATGAAAAGAAGAAGAGGATGATAAGAAGAACAAGATGAAAGACAGGAACAGTAGAAAACAAGTACTACAGGAGGAACACTCAGGAATAACATTAATAAGAAATATACAGGAGCTCAGGGAGTTATACTCATTAATAATAAGTAACGGAGAGGAACCATGTCATACACTAATCATAAAGAGAGAATAATATTTCCGAGAGGGATACCATGACTATACAGGCAGCCTGAAATGGTTAAAACAAAATAATAACATATGGAGGGTCTAACATGCGATTCCAGGAGAAAAGAAGAACCGGAACAACTCAGGAGAAAGTGAAATCAAGGAAGAACCATAAGGATCTGAAGGATGAGTGACCTGAAGATAGCAGTAGTAAGAAATAAGAAAGGACGAGAGAAATTAAAGAGAGATTGATCGGTGGAAGTCAGGAATTATGTTAAGAAAAAGAAAAATGGATGGAGCCGAGGAGATACAGAATAGAGGGCATAATAGTTTTTGATAATAAAAGAATATGTGTAAAAATATTAATATAATTTATATAGCGCGAGTGTCTTCGGAGGATATATAAACAGAATCTGGGAGATACGCGCTCCTTAGAGGAGTGCTTAGGAAGTGATATAGAATGTACAGCATGTGAAGACAAGTTGAAGGAGTGCTCCATATTTCCAAAGATCGTGACGAAAGGAGAGTGGTCTTCTATACTAAACGTGTTGCAATTCTTTATTGGGACAGAATTCCGCATTGACGGGTCCGCTCCATGTACACTAATGACTGAAATCGTCACATGCATTTTTTCAAAATACAAGGAAGAAGAGAAGGAGATAGATTATATACACGAGGACCTAATAAAGATTATTCCGTTATTGCGGAACTGTAGCATCACTATCTACGACATGTACAGAGTCCAATGTAGAACAGCATCAGGAGCATAGCCTAGGAAAGAGTTTGTAACTATAACAACAGGGATGAATAATGGAAAATTATATTTCCCTTGTGAATATATAACAGGAGAAAACAGGGGTGATAAAGGAAAGGGGAGTATACAGGAAGAGACAGCATGTCAAGAGACGAAAACAGTAGGCCTAATAATGCTGATAATATTATGGATCATTAGGGACGTAAGTGTACCAGTGAATAAGCAACTGAAATAATAGAAAACAGAGAAGATTAAAGAGCATGCGAAAAGTACATGCCTACAATGAGGAGCAGGAGCAGCAGAAATAGAGATAAGACAATACACAGCTAATAATTAGTGCATCTTTGCAACAGAGACTATTCTTAAGCAGAAATATAAGAAGAATGCTAAGACTGAAGTCATTAGGCAAAAACGAGGGGAGTATAAAAGAAGAGCACGAAGGGGATGCAGATAATACGGACAGAAAACTGCCTTTTACCATAAGATATGAATAAGGAAAGGGGTCAGAGTAAATAAGAAAGAGAAGACACAATATAAAGAAGAGAAAAAATACGAATACAAGCCACAGCCTGGAGTTGACGGTTTACGATTTAGGTTTACGGCTTATGGTTTAGATCTAGTTCTTAGAGTTTAGATTTAGGGATTACGGCTCAGGATTTAAGGTTCAGGGTTTAGGTTTCATGTTTTTTAGGATCTAGAATTTATCATTTTTGATTTTACGTTTTACTTGTTTTCTTTATCCTTACCTATCTAGTGTTTATCCTCTAGTCCCTATGATGATGCATGAGGATTTATGTTTTATTTTTCATGATTTCTCGTTTGCGCTTACGGTTGAGACATCATAATACCTCTAGAGCTTCACCTTCTCGAATCTCAGAGTATATATTTAGGATTTAGCTTTATGGCGATGACGCGCAGTTGTCAGATATCATGTTAACAACTTGGGTGTCCACTCCCATTCTCTACTTTGACAGATTAATTTCGCAGTCTATATTTCGAAATTTCACTAGCCGGCCTATTTAATTATTACTAGATTTTTATGCATCAAATGAGAAAAAGAAGTCGTCACAACTGCACACTGTAATAATGTGGAAAATTTAAATTTTAGGCGTCGAGTTCCTAACTTCTTAGAAGAAATCGATATATTTCACGGAATACGAGATCTAGGAATCTTACGGAAATTGATGAATATATTGTGTTATTCCTATTCAGATATACCTAAAATTTCAAACGTGTAGGCGGAACACTGGATTTCTGAATTATTGGACATTGTCCCTGTTGTAGCCTTCAGCACATATAGTCCTTAATGTTTCTGCGAACGTTCCTGTTATTTAGAAAATTCTTATGCTTCCTTTTGTCTATCCCGTATGTTAATTCTTCACAATGATAATGCACAGATAATAAAAGGATGTGGAAATTGACTAGAATAAGTCATCTTTCTGTATTTCTTATCAAATACATGGGAGCCATCTGAGATTACTTGGAATAACCTGTAATTTCCCAGATTCTACAGAAGTTCACAATCTATGATACTATAGTAGATCTCCTAACAGAAGAACATTGTAGATGTGAGTGCACGGAACAAAAACGAAGAAATATATAATAATGCGACTGTTAGTGGTGTACGGGAATTTCGCCCCTTATGCAATTCATTTATAAATGTCACTCTGACCGAAATATTCCTTGTCTTTAAGTGCTAGTACTATTAAAAGTAGAGATAGGTATAATTTCTATCCGAAACGTAAAATTAGAAATGTCCTTTATTCCAATTATGGAATTTTCCATTGTACCACATATAATTGGTAGAAGAACCTACCATATGACAATGAACACTGATATAGAAGAGGGAAAGAATCGAATAGAAATACAAAATCTGGGATTCCTATTTTGCAAGGATAATTATAACGGCAGGTTAGAATAACAGAAAATAAGTATAAACATATGGATCTATTTATATATCACTGTAGATGTATGTAGATAGGTGTAACTATTGTGGGATAAAGTTATCATTCAGAAGGATCTGAAAAATTAATTACTGATAATGAAGATATATGATCATTGTAATGTTATTGAGGCGAAACTACTGATTACAATTGAATTCTTAGCTTATTGGGGAATATAAGGATTTCGTGCAGCATGTGTAAAGATCTCTTTACTGCAAAATGAGATTCATTACCATCATATATTATTCTGTATATTCCTATTGTAAGAATATTATCTGGATAATACCGAAAGCGTCGATTTACAGAATGATCCATGAGTTAGCCTGGACGCATATAGAAATAAGGAGACTACTTATTCTAATGATAAAACTGAACATCATTATTGCTGGCCTTAAAAGGAGTTCTTCCGAATTTGTAATATGGCTATTTGAAATCTATTCTATACGTTGTCATTTTTGAATATTGACGCGTTATGTATAGCTCTACACACGTGAGTAGGAATTTTTATGATAAGTAAAAAGAAAATTATGAAGAGAGAAAATTATTTGTAAAGAAATAAATAAACATTTTGCATGTTCAGTAAAGTATTTACCAAAGAATCAATGAAACAAAGGAATTTCCTTGGTTATATTAGTTACACTAAAATGAACACTCCAGTATAGTGCTAACGGATGGGGTGAAATAACTGTATTTAGTAAAATCCTATAAGTACTCTTTAATTACCCTGCCGTAAACCCATATAGGCGAGATTTAGACGAAGAGCTCTTGTATAGATAGGTACGAACTTAACGATTAATTTACATTTAATTCTGACAACATCAGGGAATAGTTACCGGACGCCTATGAATATATCATATTTCAGCATCCTAACGTAATTATCATTGCATGTATCTACATTTATTTATAGGGAATGTTTGTACATTTCTCTATCTTCCCAATGCTATAATCAAATTTTATTAAGCATAAAAAAAAAATTGATTCCTCTCATTGAATATGCTTTAGAGGAGTATGATAATTTTTATCTAAGCGCATGAGTGACAGGATCGATATATATACCATAGGAAGCTATTAGTGCGGCTAATGTGAGAATGAATGTTAGAATTACGGATAACTCTGTAGGAGTCCTTATGCGGTAAACTGAGGAAATATGGTAGCGATTCAAGGATAGGTTTCACTCTAGCAGGTGCATCCTATGAAAGGACCTATTCATAATGTGTTATGATGATATTGCACGTAAACACTCTATAAATATGCATTTGATTTACAGACGGCGTCGTATAAGAAATATTAATAGATACGCTTGTGGACGTTCATGTTTGGACTTAATGAGTGTAATAACTAACAATACAATTTTAAATTGCTGTATGCCTTAGTGCCACTCCTTCCAGAGTTAGATTACAATCTTATTTCCTGTTTTGTGTTACACGCGACGGAGGATGAATAACGTTTTTAGGATATATTTCAGGATTAATCAAAGAATTATGCCCTAAAAATGAGAAAGTAATGAATTTGCAGGACTCTGTCTTGAGAGAAGTATATGCTCAGGATGTAAAGGAATTTCACCCCCTTTGGGAATCTTTTCCTAGCTTACGCTATAAGGAGTCCATCTAGATATGTTCTATGTTAATTGGACGAGACGCGAAGACAGAGTACCCTGTGGACAAGTAGCTGCTGCTGCTGAATTTTGGTATAAAAATGTCCTTTCCAAGATAGATGGAGAATGATTGCAAAGAAATAGTAACACATATTTAGTCCAGTTATATGAAGTTATACAATATATTCTGGTTCACCGAATGTACTGTAATTAGAATTAGTTAAAATATGGTATTCTTCTTTGAAGGGTGCAAAACGAGATGTATGTAATTTTAAAAAGTAAAAAGATGTTCATAAGTGTCTTCAAATGGAGCTTCTATATCTGTAGTGTTAACTGTGGTTGAACCCGAACTGAGGAAAGTATGGAAGAATAGGAAAACTGAGAAAGATGCCAACCGCTTCTTAGAGTGATCCTTACATGTAAATTTCGGTAGAAGTTAATAAATTTCATAAGGAGCCTTTTAATGGGAGGAGGATATTTATAAATTCCCCGTCCTTTTCCGCTTCCTGTTTTGAGCCTCTTCTGATTTATTAGTTCCCGTTTATTGTTGATCGTAAACTGCTTAAGGCATTTATGGAAACTATTTTTGCGCGCTAAAAGAGTAAACACATGTGCAATTATGCCTTGTTAATAATGTCCACCCGGATGCGTGCGTGTGCAAGGAAAAAAAAAAGAATTGAAACAAACTAAGTATAACATATATCATGTCGTGTCATTGAACTGTATAGAAGGCGTATATTATGGGATTTCTTTCCTTTCGAAAGAGTGCCTCCTCGTTGGAAGAATATGGGTTGTTCGCTATTTATGGACGGATTTCATGCACTGCCAACATATTATGAAGTAAGAGAAGATACCCTGTTGGCATGCTATTCTGAATTCTGTGAATCACACAAAATATACCCTTTTAGTTTATGTGATATTACATGGAAGACCACGGTTAGAAATAATATGCACGATAAACTCATTGTTATATATATAATTTTGGGGGAATTATCTTATGAAGCTGAGGCTAAGAAAAGATGACTACGTAATTTTTATATTTCGTACAATATAATAACAGGATGATGAATGAAGCCGTAGAATCAATGAGATGTACAAACACGTCAGGTTGCGGGAAAAAAAGACCTCATCTATTTTAATCTTTTTAGAAATTTTCACAGACCATCACCTAATGAAACATGCGAGGACACCGGAAGAACAGGAACGCTTTACTGTCTGTCATATTTTGCTTACGACAATGTATATGTCACGATTACTTTATGTACACCTAATACTAAACTTCATCAGAAGAAAAGCATCACAGGAGAAAAATACGTGGAAATATAGTCTCTACTGAATACTGAGTAATATAGCAGAGTCCCCCACTATACTGTCCCCATTCGGTGAAAGAGTCATCTCTTATTATTCTTCACTAGTTCATTACGTAACTGAATCTATTTTTGTGGACATTTGGAAGGACAAAAAAAGGAGTGATTAGTC